CTCTAAAAGGAGGGGTTTGGGATATTGGCAGTTTGGAGGGATATACATGTATTGTGTATTTTTATACATATATATTTCTAAGCTGTTGTATTCTGGACACCTCTGCAAAAACAGTGATTATGTGTTAGTGTGATGAAAGTGTTGAATGATGATGAAAGTATTTTCTTTTTGGGGATTTTCTTTCTTTTTGGGTCACCCTGCCTCGGTGGGAGACGGCCGATATGTTGTAAAAAAAAAAAATTTGATGCCTTCATAACTGGTGAAAGAAAGCTAGTAGGCCTGCATATGAAAGAATGGATCTATATGGTCATTGTGCTAAATATAAAAAATATCCTGCAGCATGCAGTGCATAATAAAAAAAAAATGACTGTTTTTGGTTTAAAACAGCAGCTTTGCAGTGTATTTTCATATGGTATTTATGGTTGTATTCTTGTTTTCTTGGTCTCATTTAATAGAATGGAAGATATATTACAGAAATAGAGATGATTTTGATTGGTTTCACAATAAAAAGTACCTTGAAATTGAGCTCAAAGTAGCGGGAATGTTCGATTTTTGCCGAGGTTTAAGAGTAAACAAATCACACCACGTGTCCAATACACATCAACTGGTGAGTCTAATATTCTTTCACAAGTTCGCTGATATTATTTATTCCATTTTTACAGTAATGCAGTAGTCTGCATAACAGTAAATTTTCAATTTTTTGTGAGAATAAAAATCAAAACGGAAAGCAAGAGTAATATAAGAGGGGCCTGGAGACGTTACTAGTGAACAGAGAAAATGTTATTTTAGTGCCAGGAATGTCTGTCTTGTTTATTCTACATCTTATTTTGAAATTGGCATCGTTTGAAATTTAGTTGAAATTGGCCTAATTACCAATTACTGACGACTTTATTGGGTAGTTAAAATAGGTAAATGGGCAGTTTCTTGTACTCATTCAGTAGAACAAATGGAGTTCTAGCAAAATTGCTATGATTTTAGTTGACTGGAACAATGGAATTGGCTGAAAATGGGGCTCAAAGTGGGCGAAATCACTGATGTGTAAATATCGCCAATATCGCTAACTTCGCGAGTGTAATTTCATAAGTTTTCCCTCAGATTTCATACTTTTGGTGCCATTAGCATCGGGAAAAGATTTTTTTTTTTTTTTTTTTTTTTTTTTTTATACCCTGAGTGTGAGTTAAGAATTGGGGGTCTCAATCCTCAAAAGGTTAAAAGTCCATTCAAAGAATTTACAGAAATCAAATTTTCAAGAAATTTTACTGTGTGTACATTTTAATAAAATTGGTAAAGATAAGCTTAATAGCAAATTATGATTCAGTATCGTCTTGACATGAAAATATACTATGTGGTAATTGTGCCCTTGTATTTTAAAATGGTGTTCTTTGAATAAGGAAAATTTGAAATTTCAAGGTGTATCAAATTTTGTTGAGAAAGGAATTTAATTTAAACAGGCAACAAGGGGGGGTTGGCCTGTATGTCAAAGAGTCCCTTATCTGCACGGAGTTGCTGAACACCACAAATGAGGTAGTTGAAGTTCTATCAATAAAGATCGAGAACCAAAACCTAGTCATTGTGGTTGTATACAAGCCACCAGCTGCAACCTCACAACAGTTCAAGGAACAGCTACTGAAAATCGATTACTGTTTGGAAACCTTTCCAGCTCCATCCCCAAACATCTTACTGCTTGGTGATTTCAACCTAAGGCATACAAATGGAAGAATGTAGCAAATAATGTTATAGCTGAAACAATCCCCGGAGGTAGCGCAGATGAAAGGTCACACACACATGAGCTACTAAGTCTCTGGGGAAAAACACACCTTAAAGCCAGCAGATAGTGGAGCCAAAAAGACTAGAAAACACACTTGCCCCTTATCTTCACAAATAATGAGGACCTGATAAGAGACATAAGAATATCAAAAACAACTAATTCCGATCCCCAATCTAATAAAAGGGTCCAGACGTACAGCATGGGGGCCCCTGAACAGCAGAATGCATGTACCTGTGAAGGTGTCTTCCAAAATACAATTTCAACAACAAGAACATCAACTGGGACCAGGTAAACCATGTCCTAAACAAAAACATGTTGGAAATGTCTTAAATGACACTGATCCAAACCAGTGCCTTGAAAAGGATCAACTTCCTGGTACCGAAGCATGTTCTAGGCATATTCCCCTAAGAAAGAAGAAGAGCAGGAGTAAACTGGAGAAAAAGACGCCCCCTCTACAGAAGACGACGAAGAGTCACTGAGCTCCTCTGGAGTGTAGAATATCTGATACACGAAAGGAGGCGCTGACCGGGGAAGTGGAAACTATAGAACTTAAGCTAAATGACTCTTACAGGAACCAGGAGAGGCGGAGGAGTTTAAAGCTATTAGTGAAATTGAAAGAATTCAAAATATTTCTTTTCATATGCCAAAAACAAGGCAAATACCACATCTAGTATCGGCCCTTACTCAGACAGTATGGGACTTACACCAGATGACAACAAGGAAATGAGTGAAATATTGAAATCCCAGTACGACTCTGTGTTTAGTGAACCACTAATCGGTCTGAGGATTGACGACCCAAATGATTTTTTCATGAATGAGCCTCAAAACTCCAAAATGTATGCCAGATTTCTGACATTACCCTAACTCCGATAGATTTCGAAAAAGCATTTTACACAGCCCCATGCACCCAGCCCCGGCCCAACTCGTGGAACTTGTTTTCATTTAGAACTGCGAGAAACCCCTCCGCGTGCCCTAAGTACACTATGGGAGGAGCTTGGACTATGGGTGAAATTCCACAGTCACTTAAAACAACGGATATAGCCCCACTCCATAAAGGTGGCAGCAAAGCATTAGCTAAGAACTATAGACCAATAGCTCTGAGTCCCACATCATAAAAATCTTTGAAAGAGTGCTAAGAAGCAGGATTGCAAATCACCTGATTCCCAAATCTGCCCCAATCCAGGGCAACATGGGTTCAGGGCAGGTCACTCCTGCCTCTCACAACTACTGGATCACTATGACAAAGGCCTTGGATGCACTGGAAGAAAATCAGAATTTCAGATGTAATATACACAGGGCTTTGCAAAAGCTTTGACAAATGCGATCATGGCGTAATAGCCCATAAAATACGTGCTAAAGGAATAACTGGGAAAGTGGGGAGATGGATCTTCAACTTCCTAACAAATCGAACACAAAGAGTAGTGGTCAACAGAGTTAAATCGAAGGCTGCCATAGTGAAGAGCTCTGTTCCACAAGGCACAGTACTTTGCCCCCCTCTTATTCCTTATCCTCCCAAACAGACATAAACAGAGATATACACCACAGCACCGTATCATCCTTTGCGGGGTGATACTAGGCTCTGCATGAGGCTGTCATCTGCTGAGGACGCGGTTAACCTCCAAGAAGATATAACAAAGTTTTCCAGTGGGCAACGGTAAACAATATGATGTTCAATGGGACAAATTCCAACTACTCCGTTATGGAAAACTGGAGGAGATAATAACTAGAACAGAGTTTACTACTGACTCCGGCCATACAATAGAGCGGAAAAATAATGTAGGGACCTGGAGTAGTAATGTCTGAGGATTTTCACTTTCAGGATCACAACAGTGCCACGATCGCCGTGCAAAGAAAAGATAGGATGGATAATGAGAACTTTCAAAACGAGAGATGCCAAGCGCATGATGATCCTTTCAAATCACTTGTTCCTCTAGGTGGAATACTGCTTTTACATTACATCTCCATTCAAAACAGGTGAAATCGCAGATCTAGAGAGTGTACAGAGACCTTTACTGCACGTATAAGTTCTGTCAAGCACCTTAACTACTGGGAACGCTTGGAAGCACTTGACTTGTACTCGTTGGAACGCAGGAGGGAGAGATATAAACATAATCTACACTTGGAAAATCTTGGAAGGAATGGTCCCCAAAACTGCACATAGAAATCACTCCCTACGAAAGTAAAAGATGGGCAGGCGATGCAAAATGCCCCCAATAAAAAGTAGGGGCGCCATTGGTTCACTAAGGGAAAACACCATAAGTGTCCGGGGCCCAAAACTGTTCAACAGCCTCCCATCAAGCATTAGGGGAATTACCAATAAACCCCTGGCTGCCTTCAAGAGAGAGCTGGACAGATACCTAAAGTCAGTGCCGGATCAGCCGGGCTGTGGCTCGTACGTTGGACTGCGTGCGGCCAGCAGTAACAGCCTAGTTGATCAGGCCCTGATCCATCGGGAGGCCTGGTCATGGACCGGGCCGCGGGGGCGTTGATCCCCGGAATAACCTCCAGGTAACCTCCAAGTAAGTATCATTTCTACATATATAAAGCTTCCCACAAATAAATTTAGTTGTGATTATAATTTTTATTTGATTTTTCTTAATTTCTAAAACAAGAAAGGTAATTGAATGTTTTTTAACTTGACATTACTGAAAAAACTTGTATTCAGTGTCTCCTGATCTACTATAGTTCTACTGACTAAAATACTCTTGCTGCATAAGAAAATTTTGCTAGTTGTAGGTTATTGCATCTGCTTCTCTGTATGTTCTTGGGCAAGCAGTTCCAGCATGGAGAACCCTTACTTAATAAAATAATGCAAAGCTGGGAAAAGTGCAAAGGAGTGCATCAAGCTATGAAAAAAAAAATTGAGAATTAAACCGTATGTCAGTGCAAAAAGAGAGAGACTATGATCAGGATATTCATAATATGGGTAAACAAGGAAATGCACTTTACCAAAGATGCTCCATCAAGAGAAGTTTTTAATGTTGGTGGGGGGGATGCCTTTTAATGCAAAGAATTAGACCTGTCCTCCCTTACCTTGTTTTGAACCCAATTATCTTCCACTTCCTAGTCTACTGTTTGACACCTTTGGGTTTAGCACTTCCCTTAAATATAATAATACCAAGGATGTATGGCAGGAAATTGCACATTAAAGTGAGTTCAGGTGTAATGTAAATATACTGTATAGATATTTACTTAATTTTCTGTGACTTCATTTTTTCTTTTGCTGTTGCAGACAACAAATGCAATGGATCGCAGTGAAATTCCAACTCAGGCATTAGTAAGAGTCCTTGCCCAAAAACCAGGCTTCAAAGACAACAATTTCCAAGTTCTTAAATTGAAGCTTGAAGCCCTCAAACACCTTGCTGAAAATTCTGACTTCACAAGGTAGAGTAATCTGATGCATCTTGTTCACTGGTTCTTTCATTTACATGTATGAAGAGATTGAAGTGTGAAGCAAGAACAAAGGATTGGTTCTCTCACGTATTAAATGGCAAAAAATAATCTTGGATATGTTCAGATGTAGAACAAATGTAAAAAAAAAAAGAAGAATTGTAAACATCTTGAATAAAAACGTGTCTTGGCACCGAGGACAACAAAGTTAAAAAGAACAGGAGAATTTAAATGGGAAGTAATAAAAGGAATGGAGTAACTATGAATTTGAACTAAAAACAAAAATGTGCTGAATAAAGAACTTGAAAAAATAATAGTATTGTGAATGTTTTTATTAACATGGTGCTAGGATCAAGATTAATGTAATGTGCTAGAACCAAGTACTTTTAAGTGTATGCACCTATGAAACAAGTGTAAATATAACCTTTCGAGTGGCCAATGGGATAAACTGTGAGTGGTAAATTTTGGCCAAGATATAAGTGAATGGGTCTTGTCTAGTGAGGACTTGGAGGGTGTATAAATCTGTAGTGGAGAGAGAGGGAGGGGTTGGGGTTGTCCTAGGAAAGGATGGAGGGAGGGGGTAAAAGAGGTTTTGTGTGCAAGAGGCTTGGACATTCAACAGGCATGTGTGAGCATGTTAGATTGGAGTGAGTGGAGACAAATGGTTTTGGGGACTTGACAGAGTGTGAGCAGGGTAATATTTTGTGAAGGGGTTCAGGGAAATCAGTTACCTGGACTTCAGTCCTGGAGGTGAGAAGTACAGTGCCTACACTTTAAAGGAGGGGTTTGGGATATTTGCTCTTTAGAGTGACATTTAAACTGCCATATCTGCTCACCTCTGCAAACAGTCATAATGTGAATGTTTGTGGAAGTGTTGAATGATGATGAAAGTGTTTATCTTTTTTGGGTCACCCTGCTTTGGTGGGATACAGCCGGTTAGTTAAAAAAAAGAAAATGCGGATGTGAGGCATTGGCCTTAAACATTACATTGCAGCAAGACAACTGATCATGTTTTGAAGCAGTAAGTAGCGTGAATGTTATGGAGAGAATTCGTACGCTGAGGTCAGTGGTCACGTGTGGTCATACCTGCCTAAGCTCTTGGGAGTTAAAGTGGGCTGTTACCAAGCACCATGGCTTGTTGTAGTGCTTTTGAATCTCGGGTTCAAGTGTTGAAGAAGGAGATTCTACTTCTTCAGGAGGAAAATAGGAGGCTGAAGCTTCGCATAGATGAGTTTGGGAGCGAGTGTGAGAAGGATTTAGCTGGTAAGGTAGGAATGGTCACCAGCAGTGATAGTGGCAGCATTTTTAAGTGGCAAGTGGTTCACAGTTCAGGAAGAAGGAAGATGAGGAGAGCTAATAGAGAAGATGTGAAGGTAGGAAATCGATTCTCTGTTCTCCAAGACTAGTGTACTTCAGTGGTTAGTGAGGTTGAAGGTACCACTGATTCCCCTGCTAATCAAGGCAAGAATATTTTAATAGTAGGCGGTTCTCAGGTAAGATATATGGACCGTGCATTTTGTACAGAGATAGAAAGGTCAGACAGAGAGTGTGTCTTCCTGGAGCTAGTGTTGGTGACATAGTCAGCAGGTTGGTTAATATTATGGCAGGTAATGGGAACAAGCCCATTATCTGTCTTAGTGCTGGGGGTAATGACATTGGGAAGGGCAGGAGAGAGGAGCTGCTGGATAAGTACAGGTCAACCATAAAAGTAGTTAGGTCTAAGGGAGGGATCCCAGTCATATGTAGCATCTTGCCTAGAAAAGGAGTGGGCAATGAATGGATGTCTAGGGCAATTGGTATAAATTGCTGGCTAGATCGGTACTGCAAGGAACTTGCAATCCCCTTCATTGATAACTGGGACCTATTCTTTGGCAAACATATGTATGCAAGGGATGGGGTTCATCTCTCTGGGGATGGAGTGGTTGCATTAGCCAATTCAATTGAGAGGGCAATTGATGACTTGTCTAGAAATTTAAACTGATAGATTATAGAGGTATTGGTGTTTGTGGGAAACAATCAGGCTGCAGCATTAGGGTTAAAAACAGCAATTATTACCGGGATACCTCAGGGATATGTTTAAAAGACAGTATTCAAAGTAAAGTTGCTAGTAATGGCAAATCAATTGATCAACAAACAAAGAGAGATAGTAGAGGGCAACGAGTGACTAGCTCCCTTAAGGTTTACTATACAAATAGTAGGAGTCTAAGAAATAAGATAGATGAGCTAAAATTACTTGTAAGTGTAGGTAATATAGATATTATTGGTATAACAGAGACCTGGTTCAACCTGAAAGAAAGAGAAATGCCTTCTGAATGCAACATACAGGGTTATAAACTATTACACACTGATAGGGTCAACAGGAAGGGTGGTGGTGTGGCGATGTATGTCAGAGAAAATTTAAATTGTTGTCTTAGACATGATATAAGATTAGAAACATCGAACACAGAGTCTGTTTGGCTACAGTTTCTCGAGGGATGTGACAAATTAATTGTGGGTATGATTTATAGGCCCCTAAACCTTGATAGGGAGGGCAGTAAGCTGTTATGGGTCGAAATTCATAAGGCATGTAGATAGGAAAATGTTGTGATAATGGGAGATTTTAACTTTAGACAAATTGATTGGACCAATATGACAGAAATCTTGAGTCTAGTGACTTTATTGATATGGTTCAGGATTGCTTTTTAGAACAGTTTGTGACAGAACCAACTAGAGGAAACAGTCTGCTTGACTTGGTTCTTGCCAACAAAGATTCACTAATTAATAATCTTGAGGTTAATGGTGAGCTTGGGGAAAGTGATCACAAATCACTTAGTTTCAATATATCATGGAATTACCCAGATAACTGCAATCAAATTTCTGTCCCAGATTTTTGCTTGGCCGACTTCATGGGACTGAAAAATTACTTGGGTGGGCTAAATTGGGATGTCCTGACTATGGGTCAGGTAGGTGATCTTGGTTGCCAATATGACATTTTTCAGAGCATAGTACTAGCTGCCCGGACAACTTTTGTTCTGAGTAGGGAAAGTAGATCTAGCAAAAATGATCCCAAATGGATGAACAATAGATTAAAACATCTCACTGGTCAAAAGAGAGGCATATATAGGCGTATCAAAAGAGGGGATGGGCAGTTAAGAAATTAATATATTCAATTAAAGTGAGAAATAAAAAAAGGAATAAGAAAAGCAAAAAGGGATTATGAAGCTAAGGTCACAAGGGATTCAAAGACTAACCCTTTTGGGTTAGTCTTTGAATCCCTTGCGACCCTTTCAATCCCTTCTTTCAGGTATACAGAAGTAAGATTAGGGACAAGATTGGCCCACTTAAGAGTAACTCCGGTCAGATCACTGACAGTGATAAGAATATGTGTGAAATTCTAAATACCTACTTCCTCTCAAGTTTTCACCCAGGAAAATACTAGCGATATTCCTGAAATAATAGATTATGTAGAACAGGATGATGATAAACTACGTACGATTGCGGTAACTAGTGACATGGTCCTCAGACAAATAGAGAAACTAAAACCTAACAAATCCCCAGGTCCTGATGAACTGTTTGCAAGGGTGTTAAAGGAATGTAAAGAGGAACTTAGCATACCTTTGGCTAATCTTTTTAACATGTCACTACACATTGGCATAGTGCCTGATAAGTGGAAAATGGCAAATGTAATACCTATTTACAAGGCATGTGACAGGTCCTTGGCTTCGAACTATAGACCAATAAGCCTTACCTCCATAGTGGGAAAATTTATGGAATCAATAATTGCCGAAGCAATTCGTAGCCATCTTGACAGGCACAGATTGATTAATGAATCTCAACACGGTTTTACAAAGGGGCATTCCTGTCTTACGAATTTACTAACTTTTTTCACTAAGGTGTCTGAGGAGGTAGATCATGGTAATGAATATCATATTGTGTATATGGACTTCAGTAAGACTTTCGATAGAGTTCCACACCAGAGGCTATTGAGGAAACTTGGGCACACGGAATAGGAGGAGAAATTTTTTCCTGGGTAGAGGCATGGCTGACAAATAGACAGCAAAGAGTTTGCATAAATGGGGAGAAATCAGAATGGGGGCATGTCACAAGCGGTGTTCCTCAGGGTCAGTGTTGGACCCGTTGTTCACAATTTACATAAACGACATAGATGAGGGAATAAATAGCGACAGCAAATTTGCTGATGACACCAAAGTAGGCCGTCCAATTCATTCTAATGAGGACATTAGAGCACTCCAGGATGATTTGAATAGACTGACGCAATGGTCGGAGAAGTGGCAGATGCAGTTTAATATTGACAAATGCAAAGTTCTAAATGTTGGACAGTTAAATAACCATGCCACATATAAACTAAATAATGTAGATCTTAATACTACTGATTGCGAAAAGGATTTAGAAGTTCTGGTTAGCAGTAACCTAAAACCAAGACAACAGTGCATTAGTGTTTGCAATAAAGCTAATAGAATTCTTGGCTTCATATCTAGAAGTATAAATAATAGAAGTCCTCAGGTTGTTCTTCAACTATATATATCCTTGGTTAGACCTCATTTAGACTATGCTGCTCAGTTCTGGTCACCGTATTACAGAATGGACATAAATGCTCTGGAAAACGTACAAAGGAGGATGACAAAGATGATCCCATGTATCGGAAATCTTCAATATGAGGATAAACTGAGGGCCCTGAATCTGCACTCTCTCGAAAGGCATAGAATTAGGGGGGATATGATCGAGGTGTATAAATGGAAAACAGGAATAAGTAAAGGGGATGTAAATAGCGTGCTGAAAATTTCCTGCCATGACAGGACTCGCAGCAATGGTTTCAAGTTGGAAAAATTCAGATTCAGGAAGGATATAGGAAAGCACTGGTTTGGTAATAGAGTTGTGGATGAGTGGAACAAACTTCCAAGTACAGTTATTGAGGCTAAAACGTTGCGTAGTTTTAAAAATAGGTTAGATAAATACATGAGTGGGTGCGGGTGGGTGTGAGTTGACCTGACTAGCTTGTGCTGCTGGGTCTGGTGCAGTGCTCCATGCTTGAGTGGAGATGACCAGGCTGGGTGGGTCATTGGGATAATCCGGGGGGTGGGTCATTGGGATAATCCTGGGAGTAAACATGGACCTGCTCTGCTTGGGTCAGTAGGCCTGTTGCAGTGTTCCTTCTTTCTTATGTTCTTATGTAATTCATAGTGTAGAAATTAGAAGACGGTGGGGTTTTTTCAAAGGTACAATTCGTGTGACTGAGAATGGGCTGTTGAGGTGGTTTGGTCATTCAGAGAGCATGGAGGGGAATAAGATGAACAAGAGTGTATAAATTTGGATTGGAAGGAAGGATGGGTACAGATCATCCCAGAAAGGGTTGGAGGGAAGGGAGTAAAGGAGGTCTTGAGTGCTAGAGGCGTAAGTATCCAACAGGCTTGTGTGAATGTGTTTGATCAAAGTGTAATGGAGACAATTTAGGTTATGACTTGACATGCTGTTGGAGTATGCACAAGGTAACATTTATTAAGGCATTAAGGGAGATCTGTTAGCCAGACTCGTGTCTTGTAGGTGGGAAATAAAGTGACTGCATTCTGAAGGAAAGGTGAGGATATTGCAGTTCAGGGGGTCATTTGACTTGTGATCTCTGAGTGCTTCTGGCAAATTGTATTGAATGAAGGGCAATGGCTTTTCTTTGTTTTGGGGGGTTTACCTTATCTTGATGGAAGATGGCTGGTGTGGTAAAAGAAAAATTAAACTTGTCCAGAGATGATTGACTTTAAAGTGCTCTTAGTAAATTAAAATTTTCATGAATAATATTAATAATCAAGAGAAATGTTAAACATTTCAGGGTGGTTGCTTTGCTTTTTTATTTTGCCTCGTCGGCAATCTCCCACCGAGGTTGTGAGAGAATTCTTTGTATTTGCTTGTGATATAGCTTAGAATACTATATTGGCTTTTCAGACAAGTAAAGATTTGCAAATTACTTAAAATTGATTATATTTTGTGTTCTGATTTATACAGACGGTCAGAAGAAAAATTTATCGTATTTTGTGTTCCTACAGACGGTCAGGAGAGGTATGCATTCAGGACCTTGTAGAGAAACTGGGAGATCCCAAGAATGGACCATTGTGTGGAGAGGTTCTCACTGCTATGGCTGAGGCAGCAAAGCTACAATGGGTTGGCCCAGAAGTCATGACCAAAGCATTTGAACAGAAAAGTCCCAAAGTTCAAGAAGTTGCACTTAAATGGCTCTCAGAGGCAATCACTGAGTTTGGCTTTGTGTAAGTTGCCTTTTGTTATTTTGTCTTGGTACATTAGATGTCCTTGTTAGACTATGCCTTTTAGTTTTATCCAATTTGTCTGGTTAGACTGTCATTGCTTTCATTTCTGTATAATAACTAAACATTATCTTATTTGATTTTCAGATTTGATGTTTTTTTTTTTTTAACATGTTGGCCATTTCCCATCGAGGCAAGGTGACCCCAAAAAGAAAGAAAACTTTTATCATTCAGCAGTTTCACCATCACTCGTACATAATCATTGTCTTTGTAGAGGTGCTCAGATACGACAGTTTAGATGTCCCTCCAAACTGCTAATATCCCTAACCCCTCCTTTAAAGTGCAGGCATTGTACTTCCCATTTCCAGGACTTAAGTCTGGCTAACTGGTTTTCCTGAATCCCTTCACAAAACATTACCCTGTTCACACTCCAGCAGTTCGTCAGGTCCCTAAAAACATGTCTCCATTCTTTCCCATGTAACACGCTCATGCATGCTTGCTGGAGGTCCAAACCCCTTGCCACAAAACTGCTTTTAACCCCCTCCCTACACTCTTTTTGAGAACAACCCCTACCCCACCTTCCTTTCCCTACAGATTTTTTTTTTTTTTTCAACAAGTCAGCCGTCTCCCACCGAGGCAGGGTGACCCAAAAAAAGAAAGAAAATCCCCAAAAAGAAAATACTTTCATCATCATTCAACACTTTCACCACACTCACACATTATCACTGTTTTTGCAGAGGTGTTCAGAATACAACAGTTTAGAAGCATACACATATAAAGATACACAACATATCTGTACAATGCCTGCACTCTAAAGGAGGGGTTTGGGATACTGGCAGTTTGGAGAGAGATGTTGTGTGTTTTTATACGTATATACTTCTAAACTGTTGTATTCTGGGCACCTCTGCAAAAACAGTGATTATGTGTGAGTGAGGTGAAAGTGTTGAATGATGATGAAAGTTTTTTTTTTTTGGGGATTTTTTTTTCTCTTTGGGTCACCCTGCCTCGGTGGGAGACGGCCGACTTGTTGAAAAAAATAAATAAATAAATAAATCTGTAGGGGGAGGAAGTGTGAGCAGGATAATATTTAGTGAAGGGATTCAGGGAAACCGGTTATTTTATATAACTGGACTTGAGTCCTGGAAATGAGAAGTATTCTGGGCACCTCTGCAAAAACAGTGATTATGTGAGAGTGAGGTGAAAGTGTTGAATGATGATGAAAGTATTTTCTTTTTGGGGATTTTCTTTCTTTTTGGGTCACCCTGCCTCGGTGGGAGACGGCCAACTTGTTAAAAAAAAAAATTATCATAGTGAATGGTCTGTTGGGTATTGAGTGGTGGAGCTGTGGAGCAAGGGTCTAGTAACCCCTTCTCCTGTATAAGTTACTAAATTTAAAAGAGAAATTTTAATTTTTCTTTTTTAGCCACTGTGCCTTGGTGGGATACTGCCGGTTTGTTAAAAGAAGAGAAGATAGCTACTCTCCATCTAACTTAATGTACATCAACATTTCCTAGCCCCAGTTAGTGTGCCTTGTATTACTGAATTTTTTTTATTTATTGTCACACTGGCCGATTCCCACCAAGGCAGGGTGGCCCGAAAAAGAAAAACTTTCACCATCATTCACTCCATCACTGTCTTGCCAGAAGGGTGCTTTACACTACAGTTTTTAAACTGCAACATTAACACCCCTCCTTCAGAGTGCAGGCACTGTACTTCCCATCTCCAGTACTCAAGTCCGGCCTGCCGGTTTCCCTGAACCCCTTCATAAATGTTACTTTGCTCACACTCCAACAGCACGTCAAGTATTAAAAACCATTTGTCTCCATTCACTCCTATCAAACACACTCATGCATGCCTGCTGGAAGTCCAAGCCCCTCGCACACAAAACCTCCTTTACCCCCTCTCTCCAACCTTTCCTAGGCCGACCCCTACCCCGCCTTCCTTCCACTACAGACTGATACACTCTTGAAGTCATTCTGTTTCGCTCCATTCTCTCTACATGTCCGAACCACCTCAACAACCCTTCCTCAGTCCTCTGGACAACAGTTTTGGTAATCCCGCACCTCCTCCTAACTTCCAAACTATGAATTCTCTGCATTATATTCACACCACACATTGCCCTCAGACATGACATCTCCACTGCCTCCAGCCTTCTCCTCGCTGCAACATTCATCACCCATGCTTCACACCCATATAAGAGCGTTGGTAAAACTATACTCTCATACATTCCCCTCTTTGCCTCCAAGGACAAAGTTCTTTGTCTCCACAGACTCCTAAGTGCACCACTCACTCTTTTCCCCTCATCAATTCTATGATTCACCTCATCTTTCATAGACCCATCCGCTGACACATCCACTCCCAAATATCTGAATACATTCACCTCCTCCATACTCTCTCCCTCCAATCTGATATTCAATCTTTCATCACCTAATCTTTTTGTTATCCTCATAACCTTACTCTTTCCTGTATTCACCTTTAATTTTCTTCTTTTGCACACCCTACCAAATTCATCCACCAATCTCTGCAACTTCTCTTCAGAATCTCCCAAGAGCACAGTGTCATCAGCAAAGAGCAGCTGTGACAACTCCCACTTTGTGTGTGATTCTTTATCTTTTAACTCCACGCCTCTTGCCAAGACCCTCGCATTTACTTCTCTTACAACCCCATCTATAAATATATTAAACAACCACGGTGACATCACACATCCTTGTCTAAGGCCTACTTTTACTGGGAAATAATTTCCCTCTTTCCTACATACTGTAACTTGAGCCTCACTATCCTCGTAAAAACTCTTCAACTGCTTTCAGTAACCTACCTCCTACACCATACACTTGCAACATCTGCCACATTGCCCCTATCCACCCTGTCATACGCCTTTTCCAAATCCATAAATGCCACAAAGACCTCTTTAGCCTTATCTAAATACTGTTCACTTATATGTTTCACTGTAAACACCTGGTCCACACACCCCCTACCTTTCCTAAAGCCTCCTTGTTCATCTGCTATCCTATTCTCCGTCTTACTCTTAATTCTTTCAATAATAACTCTACCATAACACTTTACCAGGTATACTCAGCAGACTTATCCCCCTATAATTTTTGCACTCTCTTTTATCCCCTTTGCCTTTATACAAAGGAACTATGCATGCTCTCTGCCAATCCCTAGGTACCTTACCCTCTTCCATACATTTATTAAATAATTGCACCAACCACTCCAAAACTATATCCCCACCTGCTTTTAACATTTCTATCTTTATTCCATCAATCCCGGCTGCCTTACCCCCTTACATTTTACCTACTGCCTCACGAACTTTCCCCACACTCACAACTGGCTCTTCCTCACTCCTACAAGATGTTACTCCTCCTTGTCCTATACACGAAATCACAGCTTCCCTATCTTCATCAACATTTAACAATTCCTCAAAATATTCCCTCCATCTTCCCAATACATCTAACTCTCCATTTAATAACTCTCCTCTCCTATTTTTAACTGACAAATCCATTTGTTCTCTAGGCTGAATATATTCATTATTTTGTATTAGGTGTGTACACTAAAATACACATACCTATCACAGGTACATACCTAAAATCAGTTTGAGAAAGTTTGTTTAGCAGAATAGGCTATAAAATAGATTCTGTCTTATACTGCATTTTTTTTTTGTTTCCGATTAGTTCTACTGAGCCCAACAGGAGCAGTAATAGATGTTTGCCTGTAATCATGCAATATACTAATGTATGTTTTTTTTTCATCTTTGTAATAAAAAGCCCTTCAGTATTACAGTTGAATTCCATTATCATGAAGTTAATTGGATTCTAGGATGAACAGCAAAATGAAAATTCCGTCTCAGAGTAAAAATTTAAAAGTGGTTGTACTGTGATTGTTCAACTAAATTTACATAGCAGATATATTTCTTATAGATGCTAAGCAAGATTGGAAATGCATGCATTATTTATTCTGTTTTGATAGACATTTTATATAATTTTTACATCAAATGAGAGAATAGTATTCCTGGTAATTGTATATTCCTAGAAAAATTGTACTTAAAGTAAGGGGTAAGAAATTAATATATGAGGCTTCACTGTAATGAGCACTGTGCTCTTTGAAAATTTTCACAATATGAAATTGCCCAAATCTTCCTTTTGTCTTCACACAAGCTGTTGTTTCATATTGATCACTAGCATACACAACGACTAAAATTACATTGAGTAGATATATCACTGAAGATGGGATATAACAACCATAGCTTTGCTTTTGTAACTATAAATAGGTAATGACATGACAGACACCCTTCATATAGCAGTTGCCAGCATCTCTCAACTGAGCAAGACTCCTTAATACTTTATTCACACCTTGAGTCCCTCTTGTCAGTGTACATATGCCAATTCCTTAGTCTCCTGCCCTGAGACTTTCTAGTTTTAGGTTCTGCCACTCAGACAACTCTGTCTCCATCTGTGTCTGATGTCACACACTGTAATTGTCTAAACAGACTTCTATCTGCAGACTCTAACTTCACTTTTAACCTGCAGCCATCTACACTAACCAAATTATTAGAAGTATAATAAACACTTCTCTACAAAAATACCCTCTTTCCATTTATGTAACATATCCAAAAATTTGTTCTTCAGGTAAGCAAAAAAAATTTTTCCAGGTTGCAGCCAAAGGCACTTATAACTGATATAAAGAAGGCCCTGGCACATACCAACCCAGGTGTAAGGACAGCTGGATTACACTCTGTGGTACCATATACCTTTACATGGGTACCACACTCAGAGTCTTCTTTGAGGACGAGAAAGCTGCACTGCTTCAACAGATTGACACAGAATTTGAGAGAGTGAGTTGTCATGTTTCTTATGACAATGAAATTTTCGTGTACTGTATTTGAAGTTTTCTTAAACTTTTAAATTTTTCAGCATTGTATATATTGGCTTGTTTTTGGAGCTTATGTATTAGAAAGTGTATTGTACATAATCCATAAATTGACATTATTTTAGTATTCTGTTCTTCTGTTAGGTATTGCATGATTGTTTTAGTTTATAGTACAGTGGTACCTTGGGATATGAACTTAATTCGTTCCAGAAGGCTGTTCGAGTGCCAATACTGAAGAAATTTGTTCCCATAAGAAATAATGTAAATTAGATTGATCTGTTTCAGACCCCAAAAATACACTTACACAAACACTTACATACATACTCTACATAATTGTTCGAGTTTTGAGGTGTTCGTATCCTGAGGTACCACTGTATTTAGTATAGTTTTAATTCAAGTAATAATTTAACACCTCTGTCTGTAAAGCCTTAAATATCACTTTTGTCCAAGGTTTCTAAGAACATTTCGTGGATAAATTAAATTATTAATTAATGCTTGTAATATGTATATAAAAATATGGCTCTATAAAATAGTAAGAAAAAAATATCCATTTGCTAAGGAATCTGATGATATTGTTAATCTTGGGAAAGTGTAGACCCTATCCTCTGACTACTATCTGTGAGACATACTGCAGTACCACATTTAAGTAATCTGCTACCAATGTATAAATACCTACATAGGTGATTCTTGATTTATTTATGTACAGAACAGGTGTAATACAGTACGTACTTGAAAGTTTAAACTTAAAGGTAAGCCCATTTGTGATCTGTAATTCTGTAACATATAATGCAGTATTATGCAATATAATAATCAGAAATGTTTAGTTCATACATACATATATTGCAAAAGTTAGCCACAAGTATCTACATCTAGGGCTTGGAACTTACTTACTGTAGATTTTGCAATGTAATTAGTTCTATAGGAAAATGATGCAAAGTATTCATTTTAGAAAACAAACTAGGGTATTCATTGAAAGTTACAGTAGATTGCTGTGACTTTCGTGGGATTGAAGGTTCAACAAGCCGCTTGATTAGAAAGTTTAATTTGTTGCATTCAGGTGTTATAAAGAAAAAAGGGGAAAAGATCATTTGAAATTTTATAAAGAATTATTTTTATTAATTTAGCTATTGTAAGAGCAAATCAGTAGCCACTAGCATGCAATAGCAAAAATGCACGGAGAGAATGAAAGTTCTCCTTTTACATTAAGGTGAGACTTTTTATCAGGCTGGGAATGATTGCCCCTGTATCTTGGTCTCTGACCAAAGAAGGTAAATAATAAAGGAAAAGTGTGCAGGTAGAGATGTAGTTGGTTGAGTTCTTTCATTGCTGACCAAGGCTAACTAGATGTGCTACCCGATGGATTATAAATGTAACCCATCAGGTATTATGAGTACGTTGGGTTTAGCACTTCTGAATATAATAAGTGTAGTGGATGTATTGCCTGGTCAAAGGCTTCCTCATATTTCTTGAGGGCCATTCTCAAGTCAGTTTATTTATAATGATGTACATGCTACTGCAGCTAAATGGCACAACTCCCCCTCCTCCTACTCGAGGCCTCAACCGAGACAGCAGTACTGATGATGGAGAAGACGACGATATTGACTCTGGGCCAGCCACCATCAATGTCCAAGACTTGGTACCACGCACCAGCATCAGTGAACAACTCACCTCCACTCTTTTCAATGAGTTAGCTGATAAGAATTGGAAGGTACATCTTACATATTGTGTAGTCAGATTAGTGTTGTTTTCCTTGCACATGCATTCTACACTTGCAGAAATTAATATGAAATTAAAAATAATAAGCTTTTAAATGTTTAATACTTTAATTATTTTTCCATTTTTCACATAAATTACTTTTTTATAATGGCAGGTGAGAAATGAAGCACTGCAAAAAGTGTCAAATATCATATCTGAGGCCAAGTTTATCAAGGGAGATGTCAGTGAACTGCCAACTGTACTTGCAGCACGCATGAATGATATGAATAAGAACTTGGCCCTGGAAGCCCTGCGTATAACTGCATCTCTTGCTGTTGCTTTAGGTCCTTATTGTAAACCTCACACAAGAAATATTGTTCCTGGTATACTAGCTGCCCTAGGGGATAGCAAGGTAAATAATTCTTACTGTCATTAACATTGTATGAATCATTATATGTATATATTATTTTTAATGCATTGGCCATCTCCCACCTAGGTAGGGTGACTCCAAAAAATTAAAACTCTCACCATCATTGACACTATCACTGTTTTGCCAGAGGTGTATAGTTCAGTTTAGATGTCCCTCTAAATAGCAAATATCCCCACCCCAGCACAGACCCTGTACTTCCCACCTCTAGGACTCGAGTCTGGCTAGTCAGTTTTTCTGAATCCCTTCACATGATATTACCTTGCTCACACTCCAACAGTTCATCAGGTCCCAAAAACCATTAGCCTCTACTCCTGTCTAACATGCTCACACATGCCTGCTGGATGTCCAAGTCCCTTTCACACAAAACCTCCTTTAACCCTCTCCCTCCCATCCTTTCCTAGGTTTACCCCTATCCTGTCTTACCTCCACTAAAGATTTATACACCTAAATCATCCTATTTTGCTCCATCCTCTAAATGTCCAAACACCTCAGCAACCCCTCTTCAGCCCTCTGTATACTTTTAGTAACTTTTCCTAATCTTCAAACTATGAATTCTCTACCTAATATTTACACCACACATTGCCCTCAGACATAACATCTCCACTGCCTCCAACCTCCTCACTGCAACGTTCACAACCCAAGCTTCACACCTAAATAAGAGTGTTGGTACCAGTATACTCTCATACATTTTCCTGTCTCCACAGATGCTTCATTGTATTCCTCCTCCCCTTTTCATCACTTTTGTGGTTCACCTCTTCTTTCATAATGGCAAATTTTCCTTCTTTTCTGAATTTTAAAAAATTTATTAATGTGGTTAATTCTGACTTGCCAGTTATAGTATGGAAAGATTGTGTATAATAAGCTCACTCAAATACTGTAGTTGTACACATTTCACACTAATTGTTTTTTGTTCTTCTGTGGCCAACATCCTTTTTATTTTTTATTTTTTTTCAGCAAAATATTCGCCAACAGGCCATGAGCACACTCAATTCCTGGGTGGAACAGTCAGGAGTGAAGGAAACCATCGATGGCGAGGTGTTTGCTGATGCACTCAAGTCAGGGTCTCCTTTCCTCAAATCTGAACTGTTTCTCTGGATGGCAGAGAAAATAAAGGATGGTAAATAGTTATTATTTGCTGATAATAAATAGTAAGAGGGAGGTGTAAGTGTATAAACTAAGGGAGGAGGAAGTTCGGGTGAGATATAAGCGACTATTGGCAGAAAGGTGGGCTAGTGCAAAGATGAGTAGTGGGGGGGTTGAAGAGGGTTGGAATAGTTTTAAAAATGCAGTATTAGAATGTGGGGCAGAAGTTTGTGGTTATAGGAGGGTGGGGGCAGGAGGAAAGAGGAGTGATTGGTGGAATGATGAAGTAAAGGGTGTGATAAAAGAGAAAAAGGTAGCTTATGAATGCAAGCCACCCAAAAATGTGTGTAAAATAATCAAAATAACAGAAAGATATATAGAAGGTAGGAACTCTGCTGTAGCCTACTGGCAACCATGCTAGGCAGGTCCTCCTCAAACCCAATCCTTGTATATTTGTCCACTGCATTTTTAAAGCTACTCATTGACCACTTGACATATTGTTCAACTTGAAGCTATTGCCAAACCAGTTGTTTCCTCCATCCTTAAATTGGAGTTTATACAACACATTCATTATTTTTGAGTTCTTGGTTAGATGCACTTAGTAACCTATTTGTATATACAGTGGAACCTCGGTTTTCGTGATTAATTCATGCCAGGAAGTCTTATGAAAACTGAATTGTACGAAAACTGAAGCAATTTTTCTCATAAATAATATAAATCCAATTAATCTGTTCCAGATGCCCAAAAATATTAACAAAAAATACATTTTATAAAGAATAACTATAGTTTTACATACAATGACAAATAAATATAAATTACTAATGAAATGGATAAATGAACATTTAACATCACTTATACCTTTACTGAAGACACTTGTTGGCGTATGGAAGATGGCAAGGAGGGGAGGGAGGAGGAGGAGGAGGTTATTGTTTGGAAGAGGAATCCCTCCTCCATAAGGTATCAAGGCCCTATCCAGGGTTACTTCCCTTTGTCTTTTACTGGCACTAGGACCAGCTTGAGAGTCACTGGACCCTTGTTGCACAAAAAATCTGTCCAGAGAGGTCTGTTTCTGACGTCTCTAAGATTTGCCAAAAATGGGACAAGGCATTGTCATTGAACATGTTGCAGACACCACTTGTAACAGTTTTGTTAGTGATATTTCTCCACAATACTTTGCAACTCATTCCACTTTGCACACATGTCTTTAGTCACTGAAGAAGGTACATTTTCCCTCTCTTCCTCCTCCTCCGAAGCAATTTCCTCAGCTGCGGTCTGTTGCTGTTCCAGTTGAAGGTCTTGCAGCTCTTCAGTGGTTAGCTCTTCCCTGTGGTCATCCACCAACTCTTTCACATCCAACCCCATGGACTTGGCCAGTGACAATAGATTCAACAATAGGCGTAGGGTCCTTAGGGTCAGCCTCAAACCTTTCAAAATCCTTCGCGAGGACACCTTGTGGCTTATTTAGCAGTCACACTTGATAAACGCGCACAAGAAACAATGGATTATTATGAAATATCCAAAAGCACAGGGTAATGCTCACTGAATGAGAAACGAAGACAGAATGCGTGGGATGCTTTGTGTGGGCGTGAGCAGGCGAATGTGTTTGGTACTGCGGACCATTGTCAACTCTACGAAAACCGAGTGGATGTATGAAAACGGACAAAATTTCGACAAAAATAGTCATTGAGAATTGAATCATGCAAAAACCAAGGTTCCACTGTATTTTTTTTTTTTATACCTGTCTTCCACTTCTATACTTCAGTCATTTCTTCCCTCATAGGATATGTACACATTGCACTGAAGCTAAAACTGTGGGTTGCTATAAAAAATAGGCTAGACAAGTATACAAGTGAGAAAGGTTGGATTTGAGAAAGACCTGCTAACCCTGGGCCAGTAGGCTTATTGCCATGCTTCTTAATTCTTTTGTTTTTCATGACATATGACAGCGCTGCATGTGGGAGGAACTTCTGCGGGAAATAAAAATGAGGAATAATGGTAATCCATACATTTCAATCTCCAACTGAGGCTCTTTTTATTCCACTGAAGAGGACCTTGGCAGGAGATGGAAATAAGCGGACTATTGTTCTTTCTCATTTAGTTGCATCAACACTGCACATACTCACCTATATGTGGCTGTAGGGGGTTGAGTCTTAGCTACAAACCCCTGCCCTTCAACTTGCCGCTTTCCAGATTGACTCAATCCTAGCCTTGTGGGCCTTATTATACCTGCTCTTAAAGCTAAGTATACAGACTGCCTCCCACTTCTTCAATGAGACTATCCTACTTTCTTATCACAGAGAGAGAGAGAGAGACTGAAGAAATACCTCCTGACATCCCTGTAGCTCATCTGTGTATTTAACTTCCAGATGTGTTCCTTAGTTCCCATTTCTTGTCACTCACACTACCCTATCAATTCCCTTGAGCATTTTGTATGTTATATCTCCCCTGTTTCTTCTATCTTTCAGTGTCATTAGTCTCTCATAGCTCATTCTGCTTAACTCAGGAACAAGCCTTGTTGCATACTTCTGCGCTTTCTCAGTTTCTCAGGTTGGTTCCATACTGGTGCTGTGTACTCCAAGATGGGCCTGACATGCTGTATAAAGGGCATGGAAGTATACCCTGGGTTTATGCAAAAATCTGATGAAGCCAAAGTATATTTATCATGGGAAGTGTGTAACATTGGTAGAAAGGTGCTGTATAGAAAAAAAGTTAAAAAGCTAAGGAAAATGTGTTATAAAATGAGATGTCTCTTTCAAGCAAAACTAGATCATGATTGACACCTCCCTCCTTTACCCTTCACAAAAGTCCATTGTTCCTAAAAGCATTTTAAATAACGTTTTGCTATTTCAGCTCCACCAAAAGGCATAAATAAAGAGGAATTACATGCCTGTACTCAGTACCTGTTCATGGCATTGGAGGATCGTAATGCTGATGTGAGAAAAGGTGCTGGCGAGGCTGTGATGCCCTTCATGATTCACCTTGGCTTCGATGGCATGGTCAAACACACCAGCAAAGTTAAGGTATATTCACAAAATTAAGTTTGTGAATTAAGATTTAAGTGTTCTGGTACTGTATAAGTGTTTCATGTCCTTCAGTGCTGATATTTAAGAGCTAAATGTGATCTTAGATCTGAATTAATATGAAAATATAAGAGCGATGCCATAAATGGAATAAGCAATTCCATGTGAATGACAAATGAAGATAAAGCATTTTTAAGGATAATGACTTGAAATTCTGTTAATGCTTTTATTTTGCATGTTAATACTGCATATTTGCTTAAAATACAATTACTTTACTTATCAAAGCATTTTTGTTTACAGCCATCTTCCAAAAACACTGTGATGCAAGCTTTGGAGAAAGCCAAGACCAGCTTACCAGCAAAACCTCAACCTAAGCCAAAAGGCAGCACTAGTGGAGGTGGTCACACTGGTCGTTCAGGACAAGTTGGTGGAGGGATGCCAGCCTCGGGAGGGAAAGGTAGTACACCAACTGGCAAGAAAAGCATAAGGGCACCCTCTGCTACAAGAACGGTAATTTGTGGTGGTGGTGGTTGATATAACAGTATGTCAGTTTTTGTCATGATAAAAGGATTTGGTTTATCTTTCAGTTTTTTATAGTAACACATTGATCATAAAATGAATCACAATAGGTGAGGGGAAAAATGGAAGGAATATTGAGGCATTTATGTAAAGAAAAGTATCAATGTAGCCAAAAAAGGGAATGTACCAGAGTATAATGGTGGCAACACTTACATGGGTGTGAGGCATGGCTTTAAACAATTCGGCAAGGAGGAAGTTGGAAAAAGTGGAAATGTCATATTTAACCCTTTGAGGGTCGACAGGCCCTCTCCGAGACTTGTTCTCAGAGTCGGCCAAATTTAAAAAAAAAAAAAAATTATTTTTTCTTATGAAAAGAAAGAGACTCTTTTCCCGATCATAATGACACCAAAAGCATGAAATTTGATGGAAAACTTAAGGAATTGTGCTCTCGCGAAGTTAGCGGTCTCGACAATGTTTACGCATCGGCGATTTTGCCCACTTTGAGCCCTATTTTCGGCCAATTCTAGTGTACTAGTCGACAAAAATCATAACTATTTCTCTAGAACTCCATTTTTTCTATTGAATGAGTACAAGAAACTACCCATTTACTGATTTCAACTATCCAATACAGTGGTCAGAATTTAGCAATTTTGCCAATTTCACACAAATTTCAAAAGATGCCAATTTCCAAATAGAGTCCAGAATAAACAAGAAAGACATTCCTGGCACTAAAATAGCATTTCCTTTGTTCGTTAGTCACATCCCCAGGCCCCTCTTATATTTCTTTGGCTTTCCACTTTCAGTTTTTATTCTTACAAAAAATAGAAGATTTACTGTTATGCAGACTACTGCATTAGTGTAGAAATGGTATAAATAATATCAGCGCACTTGTGAAAGAATTATAGACTCACCAGTTGACGAGTATTGGACGCTTGGCATGATTTGTTTACTTTTGAACTCAATTTCTGTAATATGTCTTCCATTCTATAAAATGAAACCAAGAAAACTAGAATACAACAATAAATACCATACGAAAATACAGTGCAAAGTTGCTGTTTTATTCCAAAAACACGGTCAAAGTTTTTTTTTTTTCATTATGCACTGTGTGCTGCAGGATTTTTTTTATACTGCGCACACTGACCACATAGACCCATTCTTTTATATGTAGGCCTACCAGCTTTCTCCCACTAGATTTGAGGGTGCTAGTACGTCAAAAACCCTGGGTCTTAACCCTCAAAGGGTTAAGACCAACATGGGTGTAAATATTACGCAGAGAATAAGGAATGTCTACATTAGAAGGCATTATGGGGCGTGAAAGGTATAATTCAGAGATTGGAGTGGTTCTTGAGATAGTTTGGTTATTTAGAAAGGATAGAACAATAGGTTGACCAAAAAACTATAAAAATCCAAGGTGGATGGTAGGATTGGTGGTTTAAAACTTTTACGGAGCCTGCCTCCACCACTTCTTCACCAAGATCATTCCGTTTTCTGACCACTCTAAGACTGAAGGAATACTACCCATTAATCGTGTCCCCAGGCCTCTCCTATATTACACTTGCTTTCCATTTTGAATTGATCTTCACACAAAAGATCGAAGATTTACCCCATTTCTCAGATAATAAAATATAACCAGGAATGATTTGTTATGGTTACAGCATCCCAATAATTGACGGAGACTTGGTAAAAAAAATGATAAAACGGACCGCAGAGTCGGGGTTAGTACCAGGACCTTGCCCGTTCTCAGGGAAATTGACAAAATTCAAATATTTATTTTACTTTAAGGCTGATTTCAAACTAGTTTTTTTTTTATATATATATATATATATAAATATTGGCCATCTTCCACTGAGGCAGGGTGACCCGAGAAAGAAACACTTTTTCCTTCATTCACATTCATATTATTAACTGATTTCCCTATTATATACACACTATCTTTGTTTTTAGGGTTCATCTGGTGGTCGTAAAGATTCAGAGGATGTAGACACATCCCCACTCCTCCAAGTGAACACACTCAAGCAGCAACGGGCATCAGATGAGCAACGCCTTAGAGTGTTACGTTGGGATTTCTCAACTCCTCGAGCAGAGTTCATAACACAGTTAAAAGACCAAATGACTGCAGCAGGGATGAATCGTCAGTTGGTCTCAAACATGTTCCATCAAGACTTTAAGTTCCACATTAAAGCTATTGATGCTCTAAATGAGGCAAGTCTCATTATTTGTTATATATAGAGAATGTTCAAGAGTAAAGAACAAAAAGGCAGGATACCATGATTGGAACAGTACGCGAATATCCTGCACGCAGTGTGACTTTGTAAATGATCCAGGTCAGACCGAAACATCATTGTAAGCTTCTCTCTCTTCTATGTGTGGGTTATTTGTGTAATGTCCAAGAGTGTATGTTTAAATTAAAATGTACAGGCAACACCAGGAGTAGGATTAATTTGTGAGCGAGTACTTTGGACTGTGGCCAAACTGATGTTCCTCTTGATTTGGGTCATTTACCTACACCCTTGCTTTCCATAATTCTTCATGGCTTTAATTTTCTTTCTCAGTGTATTTTAAATTGCTGCGTGACTAAGAAAGAGAGTTGTGGACATAGAACAACATCTAATTACGTCGATGTAATATTTTAATTATTAATTTTCTTGTTCCAGGACTTAAATTCAAACTTGCCAGCTTGCATTGCCAATTTGGACTTGGTTTTGAAATGGCTAACTATTCGGTTCTTTGACACAAATCCTTCTGTAATCATGAAAGCTATGGACTACTTGCAGCAAGTCTTCCAGTTTCTTTCAGAAGATGGTTACCATTTATTAGACATAGAAGCCTACTGTTTCCTACCATTCTTGGTCACAAAGGTATGTTTGTATATGAAACTTAAACCTGAAATTATAGTTATAACATAGTGAAATATTCAGTAGGGTAACTTATTAATATTGAATACTCAGTACAGTGGACCCTCGACCAACGATATTAATCCGTTCCTGAGAGCTCATCGTTAGTCGAGTTAATTTTCCCCATAAGAAATAATGGAAATCAAATTAATCCGTTCCTGACACCCCAAAGTATTAAAAAAAAATTTTTTTACCACATGAAATATTAATTTTAATAAACACAAACTGAAGAAAACATGTACAATTACATGACACTTACCTTTATTGAAGATCTGGTGATGATTGATGGGATGGGAGGAGGGGAGAGTGTGGATGGTGTTAGTGTTTAGAAGGGGAATCCCCTTCCATTAGGACTTGAGGTGTCAAGTCCTTTTCCGGGGTTATTTCCCTTCTTCTTTTAATGCCACTAAGACCAGCTTGAGAGTCACTGGACCTCTTGTCGCATAACATATCTGTCCATAGAGCTCTGTACCTCCTGTTCCTTTAAGATTTGTCTAAAACGGGCCATAACATTGTCATTGTAATAGTCACTAGTACGGCTTGCAATAGCTATGTTAGGGTGATTTTCATCCATAAAGGTTTACAGTTCAACCCACTTCGCACACATTTCCTTAATCTTTGAAGTAGGCACAATGGATTCCACAACTGACATAGGCATCTCAGGGTTAGCCCCAAACCCTTCAAAATCTTTCTTAAATTCCAAACTAATTCTCACCCTTTTTATCACAGGGTTGGCACTAGAAGCTTTCTTGGAGCCCATGGTGACTTATTTTGCAGGTGCAATAACTAAAAATGCTGTGATATATGAAATGTTCCGATTGTATGTTTGGATGTGACCGCGGTGGCTGGCTTGTAAACACTGGCACCCACGGGACAAGTGAGGCGCGGACACATCTCGAACGGAACGAATCTCGTTGGTCGAGTTTTTTAGCGCTAATCGAGGCAAATTTTTTGCATTAAAATGTATCGCTAGTTGGATTTAACGTTATACGATGCCATCGTTGGTCGAGGGTCCACTGTATATAAACTTGTTTGATTTCTCCTTAATAAATGTGGCAGTATTATTTAATGTCTACAGCAATGTTTCTGTTTCACAGTTTGGGGATCCTAAAGATTCAATTAGAGGGCCAGCAAGAAATATTGCAAGGTTGATTTGTAACATTTACCCTGCCAGTAAAGTATCTCCATATATGATGGAAGGACTCAAAGCCAAAAACGCTAGGCAAAGAGCAGGTAAGATTAGTTGAAGTTTGTCTTGTATTGTGATTCTTGTTTCTTGGCACATAAAATTAATTTAGTTTTTTCTGTTTAATGCTGGCCATTTCCCACCAATGCAGGATGACCCAAAAAGAAGAAACACTTTTTGCATTTAGTAATTTATTCAGAAGGGGTTACCAGCCCCAATGAATATAGATATTAGTCATAAAGACTTTTTTATGATGTTTTGTGTTCATAACTAGGTTGGCGTTTTTTTAATCATAACTGATGATAGTTACTCCTACTTGCCTATATAATACATATGTTGACTTTTTCTTGTCTCATGAAAAAATTCTCATCTGTGATATTAATACTCATTCCCTGTGGAAAACATCCTGTTAATATTAATTCCTGTCTGGAAAACATTCTGTTGCTATCCACACTACTGTGGAGGCAGGGTTTAGTTGCTACACTCTTACGTAGCAACACACTTTTTTTATGTACGTAAATACTGTAATGGAAAGAGCCTTCATTCATAGTTTGGGCTAGAGGTGGCAACTAAAACACCAAGAGCATTTAATTACTTAAAAAATACAGAAACAGACTTTGTCCTTGGTATAGCTGAACGTGCATGACTACAATTTGGAGAAAAAGAAAAGAAAAATTATAGGTATTATGAAAGGGTACTGTATGTCTTAGCATAGTGAGGAGAGTTTTATTTTGAAGTTGTAACGAGACATAAGATGAAATTGATAGAGTTAGAACCAGAGAGAGTTGGCAGTATTTCTGAATGAACATTTGTGAAAGTAGAGGAAGGAATATGTTTGTTGTAGTTTAAGAAATATGTGGGTTACTGGTAGTAGTGTGAAATATAGTTATTAGTATGTGTACCTTTATGAGAGAAATTCAGAAGAAAAAATCTGAGATGTGTTAAATGTTTATTAGAATTTTAAGCCAAGTAAGCACTTGCTCTGCCTGCATCATCCAATTGACTATTCTGTTTCAATTTTTCTTACTTGTATTTCTTGTGTTCTTTGTTCCTGAGTTTTTTGTTTGTGTCAGTTAAATCAGGAATACTCCAGTTACAATTTACTGTTTCTGTGCAGGTTGGTATAAACTAATCTGACACAAAAATGCATTTGGACTATAATTCTATAATTTCCACGGTGAATTGTCCAAGTTTTGCACTCCATCAATTATTAAGTGAAATTGATTATAATGTTCTTTGAGAGAGGAAATGTCTTATCTGGGCACTTCTGCAAAGACAATGATTGTGTGTGATTGATGGTGAAAGTGTTCTTTCTGTTTTTAGACACCCCCTCCCCCTTGGTGGGGGACAACCAACATGCTGAAAAGAAAAAAAAAAATGTAGGTCAAGAGCTGGAGATAGAGGAAAAAGATAGTTTATCATCAGTTAGGATGAGCACTGGGTATACAATAAACTAACCACTCGGGCAGCACAAACTAAACTGTCATCAGTAATTTAGGGATGTTGGTATCGGCTAATTTTAATGGTATTGCTGTCTGCCTAAAATTGAGTATTAGTAGGTATTTTCCAATTTTAATTGTGTCATTATCAGCTATAAATTATCAACATTGGTAAAGAATTTGGTATCCCATCCCTATGTAATATATTTGGTCCTCCATTTGACAGTGTAATGAATGTTAAATATTGTGCTGTTACTAGTCAGAGATTAGATTGTGACATTTAATTTATTGCTTGTTTGTTTTCAGAATGCTTAGAAGCCATTAGTAATTTAATAGAGGTGTATGGCATGTCAGTGTGCCAACCCTCTCCTGGTGTGGCTTTGAAAGAAATTGCTAAACAGATTGCAGATCGTGACAACTCGGTCAGGAATGCTGCCCTTAATGCCTTAGTTCAGGTGTACTTCCGAGAGAGCGAGAAGGTGTTCAAGCTTGTTGGAAATGTAAGACTTCATTTTGTATTACATTAAAAATGTCATGCCTTATCATCTGTTCTTCTATGATAAGATTCATGGACCTATATAAAAATGTAGGTTATGTTCATTGTGCTCATGTGTTTATTTTTCTTCCACTACTCTTCTTATCTGTTTATTTATATTTGTTTACAGCTTGCTGACAAAGACATGAGCCTTTTGGAGGAGCGCATTAAGAGGGCGACTAAGAATCGACCTGTTATAAAGAAGCCACCAGTTGAACCAGAAATACCAACAGTGCGAGGGGGTGGGGCAGCCAATGGACGAATCAACCGTGTCATACCAACTGCAGCTCAACCTGCACCAGCTCTTGTTAGAGACCGAGAAAGCAGTGCTGGTGGGGAACAGAGCAATCTTTTGAAGAGGTATATTTTAGCTTCACCTTTTGAAGTTGTGTATTAGACTAAAGGGGGTGATGTTGGAGCTCTTCATATATGAGTGATGTATTACTGGAGTAATAATATAATATAGGTTCTCTTGTATTAGGATTGACAACTTAATTTTCTAACAGAGATAATACAAAATGTATAATATACAGGATTCTGGTTGGGAACCCTTGTTTCCTTTGTGGTGCACTAGACTAAAGTGGCAGGCTAGTTATCTCAGACCATGGTTCAAGTTCCAGTCACACATTTAAGTTATAAGAAGGGTTTTTACATAATTCATATTTAGAGTAAAATTTATTGTAGGGGGACCATCAGCCCTCATTGTTAAAGGGAAGGAGAACAGTAGGGAGAAGAATAAAGGATGAGGTACACTGTTGTAGTTGAATATTTCTATTTGTGTATTTTTAGTTGTACCGGACTATTTTTTGTAATTCCTTTATATTTTAAAAGTATAAGCATGATTTTTTGTTAATTGTAGACGATATTACAAATTTTAATTTTTACCTACTAAAAAAATGATGGACTTGAAGAAGAATGAACAGGAACCCTAGTTGGAGCTCTGAATCAATGGACCGAAGCCAGGATGATTTAAAGTGGTCCCCACCAGTGTGGCACAAACCTCCCCGGCATAATTCCATAGCTGTCTCTAGTAGTACTAGCAGTCTGAGTAGTACAAGCAATATTAGTAGCTTAGGAAGCTTAAACAGTTGTGATGTCAACCCAAATTCAAGTAGAGGTCAGCTGAAGGGAGATTGGCCGTTGCCTCCTTTGCGTAGGAGGCCCCTTACTTCAGCCTCCCTAGAGCAAGCACGTCGCATATCTCGCTCGCTCTCTTTCCTCTTGGGAGAGCCTGACTTGGAGCCTTTGGCTGAAGAGCCACCTTCGCCTCATAATGGCCCTTCTCATGCACTGCCTCCTCTTTCTCCTCACATGCCTCCTCTTCTCACAAGAACCGTCACTTCACCTCTCTTCCCTGGGCAAGCAAACTACTGAGTTCTTGGTGTGGTCTTTGTTTCCTTGAATTGATTTTCCTAAAATACTAACCTGTTTTTGGTCATATCTGGTGCCTTTTTTTTTTTTTTTATAATACTGGCTGAGTGTTTATTTGAAAAGTAGATTGACAAGACTTTTATAATCGTTCCAGAAAATTCATTAGATTAATTTAGTAATCCACTGAAATGTCTTCCTTTTAATAATTTTAACATTAATTACATTTGTATTTCATTACATTATAACATTCTTATGCAGCATTCCTGTTACTGAAAGACTAGAAATGCTGTGTTGCTCTGCAGTTCAGTCAAATAATATAGTAAATTTTTACTTGCATTCTCCTCCTCAGTTTATTTCTTTTACACATTCATTGATAGACATGTGGATGGTAATGGAATGCCACCAAATGTAAGTTATTGCTTTAACTAAATGCATAATGGAGAATATTCAAGAACGTCTTTGGTGGTAGGTCTTCATGAAATAATAAATAAAAAATAGATTAATTTAGAGGACAAGTTTACTGATAGTTACACAAGGTGCAGAGATGGAGTAGTTATTGTATATTTTGGCAGTTGTAGCAGTTCTGAACTAAGATAATTACCAAGGGAAGCTGAGTTTTACTTTGGCTAAGGCTAGGTTTTTTCATTTTAGAAATAGCCACTTAGGAAGCTTATTACTAAGTTTGTCCTGGACATAGTTGTGACTTGACATTTCAGCTCTTAAATAATTGCAAGATAAGTACTCCTGTATTCACAATCTAGTTCATGAATGCATCACTTCATTATACTTTCTCTAAAAATAATTACTGAATATTCGAAAGCTGCCTTTAGATAACTATGTATGCTGTTTTTAATTTTAGAGTGAGATATTTGTGTAATTGTTTAACACACTAATATTATTTACCCATGGTTTGTAACCTTCGATTTCATTTATATTCATAAAACTGTGCATCCAAGGATTTTAACTTTTATCTCTTTGAAATTGAAGTAGAGTATCATTTTATAATTTTAAAGACTAAGCATATTGAGAAATGTTTAGAAGCTAATGTGTAGTAGAAAAAAAACATAAAAAATAATGCAGATAAGGTAATAGTTGCTTATTTACAAGGCAGTGGTCTTTAGTCTCATAAAATTAATAAACATATCGAGTAGTGCCTTTCGTAACAGTTCTTACATCAGTCAACAAATCAGGCATAGATCTTACTAGTACAGATGTAACTGCTTATGGGAGATTCTAAAGAAAAGTTGCAAAAGTTAGTGGACGAGTTTGGGAGGGTGTGTAAAGGTAGAAAGTTGAAAGCGAACATAGATAAGAGTAAGGTGATGAGGGTATCAAATGATTTAGATAAAGAAAAATTGGATATCACATAGGAAAGAGGGAGTATGGAATAAGGGAATGTTTTCAGATATGTGGGAGTTGACTTGTCAGCAGGTGGGTTTATGAAGGATGATGCTAACCATAGAATTGATGAAGGAATAAAGGCGAGTGGTGCGTTGAGGTATCTGTGGAGACAAAAAATGTTATCCATGGGGGCAAAGAAGGGAATGTACGAAAGTATAGTGGTACCAAGACTCTTAGATGGGTGTGACACTTGGGTTGCAAATGCTGCAGCGAGGAGGCGGCTGTAGGCAGTGGAGATGTCCTGTCTGAGGGCAGTGTGTGGTGTAAATATTATGCAGAGAATTCAGAGTGTGGAAATTAGGAGGAGGTTTGGAGTTTCTAAAAGTATTAGTCAAAGGGCTGAAGAGGGGTTGTTGTTGTGGTTTGTTCATTTAGAGAGAATGGATCAAAGTAGAATGACTTGGAGAGAGTATAAATCTGTAGGGGAAGGAAGGCGGGGTAGGGGTCGTCCTAGAAAAGGTTGGAGGGGGGGGGTAAAGGAGGTTTTGTGGGTGAGGGGCTTGGACTTCCAGCAAGCATGTGTGAGCGTGTTAGATAGGAGTGAATGGAGACGAATGGTTTTTGGGACCCGACAAGCTGTTGGAGTGTAAGCAGGGTAATATTTAGTGAAGGGATTCAGGGAAACTGGTTATTTTTATATAGCTGGACTTGAGTACTGGAAATGGGAAGTACAATGCCTGCATTTTAATTAACGGAGGGGTTTGGGATATTGGTAGTTTGGAGGGGAATGTTATTTATCTTTATATTTGCTTCTGAACTGTTGTATCTGAGCTCCTCAACAAAGACATTGATTATATGTGAGTAAGATGAAAGTGTTGAATGATGATGAAAGTATTTTCTTTTTTGGGGATTTTCTTTCTTTTTGGGTCACCCTGCTTTGGTGGGAGACAGATGACTTGTTACAAAAAAAATAACTGGAAAATTTTTTTTAACACGTCAGCCGTTTCCCACCGAGGCAGTGTTATCCAAAAAGAAAAAATGCAAGATATTTCATCAGAAGTAATAGTCATTTGTTAAGCCATTTTTAGGTTTGAGATGAGTAACCAGCATTTTAGATCTTCTGGAAGTCATGGTCATTAGTTAAACAATTTCCAGGTTTGGGATGAGGAGCCAGCAGCCTAGCAATGTGAATACTCCATTCAAAATTGATTATGGGCTTATTGAAAAACTTTTGGAGGACAATGATAATGCAGACAGACCACAGTATAACTTAGAAGAAATCCCCGACATGGCTTCCTTACTCAATTATAAACCAATTTGTCCCACACCTGCTTCCAGGTAAGCTTGTAATAAATCTGTTTTATTTCAATATCTTCTTGTATGGAAAATACCTAAAACAATCATCCTAACTGTCAGGATACTGTAATTAATATTTACCCCATGCCTAGACACTAATTAAGGATTCTTAATGAGTTCAGAAACAGAAGGTCCAAACATTGAACCAGTAAAGGTAAAATTATTGTGTTTTAAGTAAAAAAAATTTCCAAATGATATAGCAAAGTTACATAGCTTGTAGAGAAGGGTAAACATACACTGACAGTGGGATAACTGATTGACTTTAGGGCCAGTGTGCCCTTGATGTTTGTTTTCGAATTTCTTAGGATATGCATTTTGTTATAAAGACTGCATCTATTTTCAGATTAACCAGACCTGGGTTCAGCTCAGTGTCTAGACCAATTACCTCTGCCCAAACGTTAGAGACTGAGGGAGCAGCTCAGGCTATCAATATGGTCATATCTCAGGTATGCTAAATTACGCACTATAAAATAATAAAAAATAAAGTACATAGAGAGTACACAAATAACCTGCACATAGACTGAAACTTGTGATGACATTTTGGTCTGACTTGGACATTAACTAGTTGCACAGAGATGTGCAAAGGGAAGGGAGCCAGAATATATGAGAGGGGGTGGGAAATAAGTAGTGAAACTATCCCTGCCTGCTATATATCATATATTTACTTCGCACTTTTCTGCGTGATTAGTTAATGGTCCAAGTCAGACCAAAACAGTCTTAAGTTTGTCTCCAATGTGCAAGTTATTTGTGTATTGTTCCAGTAATGGTATTATGCCTTTTTTATTGTCAGTTACATAGAAGGATTAGTACAGTTACAGAGTCTGTATTATGCTTAGTGTTTCAGACAAAACTAAAGCTACTCTATAATGATTGCGGATTGTGCGGAAAAGTAACGTGAAGGACTTGGGATTGATAATGTCAGAGGACCTCGCCTTCAAAGACCACTAAATGTATCTACCTCATCTGCTAGGAAAATGGTAGGATGGATAATGAAAACTTTCAAAACTAGGGATGCCAAGCCGATGATGATTCTCTTCAAATCGCTTGTGCTCTCTAGGCTGGAATACTGCTGTACACTAACAGCCCCCTTTAAGGCTGGCGACATTGCAAACCTGGAGAATGTACAAAAAACTTTCACGGCACATACAAGCACGATAAGGCACCTAAATTACTGGGAACGGTTGAAGGTCCTTGATCTGTATTCCCTGGAATGCAGGTGAGAGAGATTTTTTTTTTTTATTATCACACCGGCCGATTCCCACCAAGGCAGGGTGGCCCGAAAAAGAAAAACTTTCACCATCATTCACTCCATCACTGTCTTGCCAGAAGGGTGCTTTACACTACAGTTTTTAAACTGCAACATTAACACCCCTCCTTCAGAGTGCAGGCACTGTACTTCCCATCTCCAGGACTCAAGTCCGGCCTGCCGGTTTCCCTGAATCCCTTCATAAATGTTACTTTGCTCACACTCCAACAGCACGTCAAGTATTAAAAACCATTTGTCTCCATTCACTCCTATCAAACACGCTCACGCATGCCTGCTGGAAGTCCAAGCCCCTCGCACACAAAACCTCCTTTACCCCCTCCCTCCAACCCTTCCTAGGCGACCCCTACCCCGCCTTCCTTCCACTACAGACTGATACACTCTTGAAGTCATTCTGTTTCGCTCCATTCTCTCTACATGTCCGAACCACCTCAACAACCCTTCCTCAGCCCTCTGGACAACAGTTTTGGTAATCCCGCACCTCCTCCTAACTTCCAAACTACGAATTCTCTGCATTATATTCACACCACACATTGCCCTCAGACATGACATCTCCACTGCCTCCAGCCTTCTCCTCGCTGCAACATTCATCACCCACGCTTCACACCCATATAAGAGCGTTGGTAAAACTATACTCTCATACATTCCCCTCTTTGCCTCCAAGGACAAAGTTCTTTGTCTCCACAGACTCCTAAGTGCACCACTCACTCTTTTTCCCTCATCAATTCTATGATTCACCTCATCTTTCATAGACCCATCCGCTGACACGTCCACTCCCAAATATCTGAATACGTTCACCTCCTCCATACTCTCTCCCTCCAATCTGATATTCAATCTTTCATCACCTAATCTTTTTGTTATCCTCATAACCTTACTCTTTCCTGTATTCACCTTTAATTTTCTTCTTTTGCACACCCTACCAAATTCATCCACCAATCTCTGCAACTTCTCTTCAGAATCTCCCAAGAGCACAGTGTCATCGGCAAAGAGCAGCTGTGACAACTCCCACTTTGTGTGTGATTCTTTATCTTTTAACTCCACGCCTCTTGCCAAGACCCTCGCATTTACTTCTCTTACAACCCCATCTATAAATATATTAAACAACCACGGTGACATCACACATCCTTGTCTAAGGCCTACTTTTACTGGGAAAAAATTTCCCTCTTTCCTACATACTCTAACTTGAGCCTCACTATCCTCGTAAAAACTCTTCACTGCTTTCAGTAACCTACCTCCTACACCATACACTTGCAACATCTGCCACATTGCCCCCCTATCCACCCTGTCATACGCCTTTTCCAAATCCATAAATGCCACAAAGACCTCTTTAGCCTTATCTAAATACTGTTCACTTATATGTTTCACTGTAAACACCTGGTCCACACACCCCCTACCTTTCCTAAAGCCTCCTTGTTCATCTGCTATCCTATTCTCCGTCTTACTCTTAATTCTTTCAATTATAACTCTACCATACACTTTACCAGGTACACTCAACAGACTTATCCCCCTATAATTTTTGCACTCTCTTTTATCCCCTTTGCCTTTATACAAAGGAACTATGCATGCTCTCTGCCAATCCCTAGGTACCTTACCCTTTTCCATACATTTATTAAATAATTGCACCAACCACTCCAAAACTATATCCCCACCTGCTTTTAAACATTTCTATCTTTATCCCATCAATCCCGGCTGCCTTACCCCCTTTCTTTTACCTACTGCCTCACGAACTTCCCCCACACTCACAACTGGCTCTTCCTAAACTCCTACAAGATTTTTATTCCCCCTTGCCCTATACACGAAATCACAGCTTCCCTATCTTCATCAACATTTAACAATTCCTCAAAATATTCCTTCCATCTTCCCAATACCTCTACCTCTCCATTTAATAACTCTCCTCTCCTATTTTTAACTGACAAATCCATTTGTTCTCTAGGCTTTCTTAACTTGTTAATCTCACTCCAAAACTTTTTCTTATTTTCAACAAAATTTGTTGATAACATAATATACACTTGGAAGGTCCTGCAGGAATTGGTACCAAACCTGCACACGCTTTTTTATGGAGAAAATCAAGGTTGGAGTGCTACGCACGCAATCGTAGATCTACGTTTGGACAGTTTAAGGGTTAAATGAGCCCGAGATACATAACTTCACTATAAGAGTGGCGAGTCAATGCACCAACAGAGGGAAGTACTGGTCACCTCAACAGATGGATTCAAAAGTAGATATTCTAAAACCTATGGAATGATGGAGCCTCTTAAAAAACTCACTTGATGGTTACGGTGCCTAGATGTAGATGAGGGGCACTTGACTTAAAGAATTGGACCATCCATCCCTTAAATATTAGTTAGACCAATTCTTTTTGCCTCGTTCTTTCAGGTGCTTTGTGCCCCTTATGAATTTAGTACTCCTGCCATGAGTGTATCTAGTGAGGGGCAGGGCCCAGGAGCTGGGGCTCACTATAAACATACCTAAGATGTTTAAATGTCACTGAAGCTAGTAGGGTACAATATCCTTTAAAAAATAACACATAGGCACAATACCGTGACTGGAACAATACACAAATAACCTGCACATAGGAGAGAGGAGCTTATGGCAACATTTCGGTCTGACTTGGACCATTTACAAAGCCACACTTTGTAAATGGTCCAAGTCGGACCAAAAAGTCGTTGTAAGCTCCTCTCTCGTATGTGCGAGCTATTTGTGTATTCCTTTAAAAAAAGTTGATATATTTGATGTGGTAAAATTAATTGATAACTTTATCTATTCAGTATTTTAGGACCTCTTATTTGCATCAAGTGTATATACACACACTTAGTGATGGAAACAGTGTCTTGCCTAATTTTGTTTGTGGTATGGACTCCATCTCCATGACTGCCTCAACTGTTTATTAACTGTTGCAGGTGTGATAACTCCCATGACCTATGGGTTTTCTCCAAATTTATCATTTTGAATTGTTTATGGAGTTTACATCTTCAAATGTATTCCATTCATCTCGCACAAACAATATTTTATCAATCTCTCATCCTGTGGTACTGGCAGTAATTGTATTTGTCAAAGGTAGAGATTGTAAAGGTATTTTGAGAACTTTGCTGTATTCAAGTATTACATTGTGTTAGTTCTGTTTCAAAAACGAAGGTAATAAAGATACTCAATAATACCTGAGCAACACATTAATAATCTGTGTATAAATCTAAATTCAGTATACAACTCATTAGTCATGAGAAATTTCAAGCATGTTTTCAAACAAGGCTTGCATTTTTTTGGAAAGGAGTAAAAAGAAAAGAATTATTCTTGTGTCATTTTCTAATGTGTGAAAGTGTGCATTAACTTACTACAATTAATCTTTGCATTTTAACAGGTTGCCACTCCAGATGCCAATACTGTTATAACAGCTTTATCACAGTTGGATGAGGTACTGCAGTCAGAAGAGCGGTGTTGTGAACTGGCTCCTCACATAGATCAGCTTCTGATTGTGGCCACACTTCAGTATCGTCTAGTCCTCAATACAAAAATGGCAAACCCTAATGTCAATAAGGAAGAGTGTATAAAAATCTATCGGTCACTAACGAACTGCTTGATGATGGTAGGCATTTGTATATTTTTCTTGGTAAAGTATCTAACAGTTAAATTTTTTGTGTGGTCTTGCATTTGTCACTACCCTGTTTTCTATTGTCATAATATGGTGATACCCTCATCACTTAGTGTTTCAGCCATTTCACAGGCTAGGTTTAAAGTTCTCAGTGTATTATCACAAAAACAAATCAAATTCATTGCCTAGTAACATAAATTTGCTGTCAAAGTCCTGAAGATATGTATTAGGGCTGAATCCTTTGATTGCTATCTATATTCTTAGTTCTTCGTTCTGTTTAGAAAATTAGTCTACATGCATACATTTTTTTTTTTTTTCATTGTTCTCTTCTTGACTTTCAACAATTCTCTAGCAGTTCATTCTCATTTCATATAATTTGCATATTTATGCACTACATGTCTTATTTTTCCTGTTATGTATTATTTCCCACTTAGTTTCTGCGTGCTTACTGAAGCCATCATTTTCTTGACACCAATTTTTTGTCACCTGATATAAACAGGTTGAAACTATAGCTAGAAAAATTATTAAAAGTAAAATAGAAAAGGAAATGTGCTAATAACAGTAAATGAAAATGTTAATATTGAATAAATTTGTAAGTATGACAAATGAGGTCCTGTCAAGAAATTTTAATGGAAACAAAAAATTTTGGAGTGAGTTTAACAAGTTAAGAAAGCCTCGGGAACAAATGGATTTGTCAGTTAAAAACAGAGTAGGGGAGTTAGTAGATGGGGAGATGGAGGTTTTGGGTAGATGGCGAGAATATCTTGTGGAACTTTTAAATATCGACGAAGAAAGGGAGGCTGTAATTTCATGCACTGGCCAGGGAGGTATACCATCTTCTAGGAGTAAAGAAGAGCAGGATGTGAGTGTGGGGGAGGTGCTTACGTAGAATGAAAGCGGGTAAAGCAGCTGGAACTGACGGGATCATGACAGAAATGTTAAAAGCAGGGGAGACGGCCGACTTGTTGAAAAAAAAAAAATGTATGAAAGAGGGGAAGGTACCTAGGGATTGGCGGAGAGCGTGTATACTCCCTTTATATAAAGGGAAGGGGGACAAAAGAGATTGTAAAAATTCTTCTTTCAACACACCGCCTGTATCCCACCGAGGCGGGGTGGCCCAAAAGGAAAAACGAAAGTTTCTCCTTTTACATTTAGTAATATACACAGGAAAAGGGGTTATTAGCCTCTTGCTCCCAGCATTTTAGTCGCCTCTTAAAACTCGCATGGCTTACGGAGGAAGAATTCTATTCCACTTCCTCATGGAGATAAGAGGAAATAAACAAGAACAAGACCTAGAAAGAAAATAGAAGAAAACCCAGAGGGGTGTGTGTGTATATGCTTGAACATGTTTGTGTAGTGTGACCTAAGTGTAAGTAGAAGTAGCAAGACGTACCTGAAATCTTGCATATTTCTTTCTTCTTTCAACACACCGGCCATATCCCACCGAGGTGGGGTGGCCCAAAAGGAAAAACAAAAGCTTCTCCTTTTACATTTAGTAATATATACAGGAGAAGGGGTTACTAGCCCCTTGCTCCCGGCATTTTAGTTGCCTCTTACAACACACATGGCTTGCGGAAGAAGAATTCTGTTCCACTTCCCCATGGAGATAAGAGGAAATAAACAAGAACAAGAACTAGAAAGAAAATAGAAGAAAACCCAGAGGGGTATGTATATATATATGCTTGTACATGTATGTGTAGTGTGACCTAAGTGTAAGAAGAAGTAGCAAGATGTACCTGTAATCTTGCATATTTATGAGAGAGACAAAAGACACCAGCAATCCTACCATCATGTAAAACAATTACAGGCTTTCGTTTTACACTCACTTGGCAGAATGGTAGTACTTCCGTGGATGGTTACTGTCTACCAACCTACTGCCTAGAATTGTAAAAATTATAGAATAAGTTTACTGAGTATACCAGGAAAAGCGTACAGTAGGGTTATTATTGAAAGAATTAGAGGTAAGACAGAATGTAGAATTGCGGATGAGCAAGAAGGTTTTAGAGTGGGTAGGGGATGTGTAGATCAAGTGTTCACATTGAAGCATATATGTGAACAGTATTTAGATAAAGGTAGGGAAGTTTTTATTGCATTTATGGATTTAGAAAAGGCATATGATAGAGTGGAAAGGGAAGCAATGTGGCAGATGTTACAAGTATGTGGAATGGGTGGTAAGTTACTAAATGCTGTAAAGAGTTTTTATGAGGATAGTGAGGGGTCAGGGTTGGGTGTGTAGAAGAGAGGGAGAAAAACTTCCCATAAAAGTAGGTCTTAGATAGGGATGTGTAATGTCACCATGGCGTTTAATATAATTTATAGATGAGTTGTAAAAGAAGTAAATCTAGGTGTCAGGAGTGGGGTGGGATTAAACTATGGGGAATTAAATACAAAATGAGAAGTGACACAGTTACTTTTTGCTGATGATAGTGTGCTTATGGGAGATTCTAAAAAAAAATTGCAAAGGTTAGTGGATGAAATTGGGAGTGTGTGTAAAGGTAGAAAAGTTGAAAGTGAACATAGAAAAAAGTAAGGTGATGAAAGTACAAATGATATAAATAAAGAAAAATTGGATATCAAATTTGGGGGGGAGGGGTATGGGAAAAAGTGAATGTTTTAAGATATTTGGGAGTTGACGTGTCAGCGGATGGGTTATGAAGGATGAGGTTAATCATAGAAATTTATGAAAGAAAAAGGTAGTGGTGCATTGAGATATATGTGGAGACAAAAAATGTTATCTTTGGAGGCAAAGAAGGGAATGTGTGAAAGTATAGTAGTACCAACACTCTTATACGGGTGTGAAACTTGGGTTGTGAATGCAGCAGCGAGGAGGCGGTTGGAGGCAGTGGAGATGTCCTGTCTAAGGGGAAAAGTGTGGTGTAAATATTATGCAGAAAATTCAGAGTGTGGAAATTAGGAGGTGTGGAGTTATAAAAATTTTAGAGGGCTGAAGAGGGGTTGTTGAGGTGGTTTGGTCATTTAGAGAGAATGGATCAAAGTAGATTGACATGGAGAGTGTATAAATTTAGGGGAAGGAAGGTGGGGTAGGGGTTGTCCTCGAAAAGGTTGGAGGGAGGGGGTAAAGGAGGGTTTGTTGGGAGGGTTTGGACTTCAGCAGGCTGCGTGGGATGTTAGATAGGAGTGAATGGAGACAAATGGTATTTGGGACCTGACGAGCTGTTGGAGTTTAAGCAGGGTAATATTTAGTGAAGGGATTCAGGGAAACCGGTTATTTTATATAACCGGACTTGAGTCCTGGAAATGGGAAGTACAATACCTGCACTCTAAAGGAGGTGTTTGGGATATTGGCAGTTTGGAGGGATATATTGTGTATTTTTATACGTTTATACTTCTAAACTGTTGTATTCTTGGCACCTCTGCTAAAACAGTGATTATGTGTGAGTGAGGTGTAAGTGTTGAATGATGAAGAAAGTATTTTCTTTCTGGGGATTTTCTTTCTTTTTGGGTCACCCTGCCTCGGTGGGAGACGGCCAACTTGTTGAAAAAAAAAAATAACTACCTGGTAATTTGACAGTTAAAGGTTATGTAAATGTCCTGGAAACTGCTATTATCTTCAATCATTTGAAGCTAGCATATATTGCATGTATTTTTTTTGTTGTTGTTCTTGTCAAAACCTAAAATAAATAGTACTGTATAGTATACTATGGGTATCAATGAAGCAGATATGATAATTGACTTTCTTCAACAGATTTTCAATAACAAACAGCTCGGAACAAAAGCAACAAGAGATGTTCTCAGAGATGTAGTACACGTTCTTATTCACATCTTGTTAGATCCCCGCCTTTCTCAGTTGGAGGATGGACCCCAGATTATTCGCGCAATTAATGTGCTAGTAGTTCGTATAGTTGAAAAGGCACAGTTCACTCATGTATTCAGGTGAGTCTTACTTATGTTGGAAGGACATGTGAATGATAGCTGTTGGCCTTTAGTGTTGCAGTCAACACATCATCAGGAGCTTGCAATGTTGTAGATGTGAGTAGGAGGTCCAGGTAGTATGTTTTCAATTTCTTAGTTTAAATAATGAAATTACTTTTTTTTTTTTATTATCACACCGGCCGATTCCCACCAAGGCAGGGTGGCCCGAAAAAGAAAAACTTTCACCATCATTCACTCCATCACTGTCTTGCCAGAAGGGTGCTTTACACTACAGTTTTTAAACTGCAACATTAACACCCCTCCTTCAGAGTGCAGGCACTGTACTTCCCATCTCCAGGACTCAAGTCCGGCCTGCCGGTTTCCCTGAATCCCTTCATAAATGTTACTTTGCTCACACTCCAACAGCACGTCAAGTATTAAAAACCATTTGTCTCCATTCACTCCTATCAAACACGCTCACGCATGCCTGCTGGAAGTCCAAGCCCCTCGCACACAAAACCTCCTTTACCCCCTCCCTCCAACCCTTCCTAGGCCGACCCCTACCCCGCCTTCCTTCCACTACAGACTGATACACTCTTGAAGTCATTCTGTTTTCGCTCCATTCTCTCTACATGTCCGAACCACCTCAACAACCCTTCCTCAGCCCTCTGGACAACAGTTTTGGTAATCCCGCACCTCCTCCTAACTTCCAAACTACGAATCCTCTGCATTATATTCACGCCACACATTGCCCTCAGACATGACATCTCCACTGCCTCCAGCCTTCTCCTCGCTGCAACATTCATCACCCACGCTTCACACCCATATAAGAGCGTTGGTAAAACTATACTCTCATACATTCCCCTCTTTGCCTCCAAGGACAAAGTTCTTTGTCTCCACAGACTCCTAAGTGCACCACTCACTCTTTTTCCCTCATCAATTCTATGATTCACCTCATCTTTCATAGACCCATCCGCTGACACGTCCACTCCCAAATATCTGATACGTTCACCTCCTCCATACTCTCTCCTCCAATCTGATATTCAATCTTTCATCACCTAATCTTTTGTTATCCTCATAACCTTACTCTTTCCTGTATTCACCTTTAATTTTCTTCTTTTGCACACCCTACCAAATTCATCCACCAATCTCTGCAACTTCTCTTCAGAATCTCCCAAGAGCACAGTGTCATCAGCAAAGAGCAGCTGTGACAACTCCCACTTTGTGTGTGATTCTTTATCTTTTAACTCCACGCCTCTTGCCAAGACCCTCGCATTTACTTCTCTACAACCCCATCTATAAATATATTAAACAACCACGGTGACATCACACATCCTTGTCTAAGGCCTACTTTTACTGGGAAAAAATTTCCCTCTTTCCTACATACTCTAACTTGAGCCTCACTATCCTCGTAAAAACTCTTCACTGCTTTCAGTAACCTACCTCCTACACCATACACTTGCAACATCTGCCACATTGCCCCCCTATCCACCCTGTCATACGCCTTTCCAAATCCATAAATGCCACAAAGACCTCTTTAGCCTTATCTAAATACTGTTCACTTATATGTTTCACTGTAAACACCTGGTCCACACACCCCCTACCTTTCCTAAAGCCTCCTTGTTCATCTGCTATCCTATTCTCCGTCTTACTCTTAATTCTTTCAATTATAACTCTACCATACACTTTACCAGGTACACTCAACAGACTTATCCCCCTATAATTTTTGCACTCTCTTTTATCCCCTTTGCTTATAAAATATTATTCCTTGGATACTTGTTCATGTTAATTGCATGGGTATCTGGGAAAATAGATTCAGTATTATGAGTAGTTTTCAGGAATGCATCTTGTTCATTAGTTGGAAACCCTGTACGGGATAAGATATTGTCAGAACGTTGAGTAGAATGAGAGAAACAGGAAAAACATTCATGAATATGTCTCGAGTAACCTAATGTTCAGATAGTGCAATAAACCAAAAGAAGCCAGGACTAACAAACTAATACTTTAGGATACTTTAAACTACATAGATAACCCACACATAGGAGAGAGGAGCTTACGACGACATTTCGGTCCGACTTGGGTGAGATGTTATCAACAAATTTTGTTGAAAATAAGAAAAAGTTTTGGAGTGAGATTAACAAGTTAAGGAAGCCTAGAGAACAAATGGATTTGCCAGTTAAAAATAGGAGAGGAGAGTTATTAAATGGAGAGTTAGAGGTATTGGGAAGATGGAGGGAATATTTTGAGGAATTGTTGAATATTGATGAAGATAGGGAAGCTGTGATTTTGTGTATAGGGCAAGGAGGAATAACATCTTGTAGGAGTGAGGAAGAGCCAGTTGTGAGTGTGGGGGAAGTTCGTGAGGCAGTAGGTAAAATGAAAGGGGTAAGGCAGCTGGGATTGATGGGATAAAGATAGAAATGTTAAAGCAGGTGGGGATATAGTTCTGAGTGGTTGGTGCTATTATTTAATAAATGTATGGAAGAGGGTAAGGTACCTAGGGATTGGCAGAGAGCATGCATAGTTCCTTTGTATAAAGGCAAAGGGGACAAAAGAGAGTGCAAAAATTATAGGGGGATAAGTCTGTGAGTATACCTGGTAAAGTGTATGGTAGTTATTATTGAAAGAATTAAGAGTAAGACGGAGAATAGGATAGCAGATGAACAAGGAGGCTTTAGGAAAGGTAGGGGGTTGTGGACCAGGTGTTTACAGTGAAACACGTAATGAACAGTATTTAGATAAGGCTAAAGAGGTTTTTGTGGCATTTATGGATTTGGAAAAGGCGTATGACAGGGTGGATAGGGGGGCAATGTGGCAGATGTTGCAGGTGTATGGTATAGGAGGTAGGTTACTGAAAGCAGTGAAGAGTTTTTACGAGGATAGTGAGGCTCAAGTTAGAGTATGTAGGAAAGAGGGAGATTATTTCCCAGTAAAAGTAGGCCTTAGAGAAGGATGTGTGATGTCACCGTGGTTGTTAATATATTTATAGATGGGGTTGTAAGAGAAGTAAATGCGAGGGTCTTGGCAAGAGGTGTGGAGTTGAAAGATAAAGAATGACGCATAAAGTGGGAGTTGTCACAGTTGCTCTTTGCTGATGACACTGTGCTCTTGGGTGATTCTGAAGAGAAGTTGCAGAGGTTGGTGGATGAATTTGGTAGGGTATGCAAAAGAAAAAATTAAAAGTGAATACAGTGAAAGAGTAAGGTTATGAGGATAACAAAAAGATTAGGTGATGAAAGATTGGATATCAGATTGGAGGGAGAGAGTATGGAGGAGGTGAATGTATTCAGATATTTGGGAGTGGACGTGTCAGCGGATGAGTCTATGAAAGATGAGGTGAATCATAGAATTGATGAGGGGAAAAGAGTGAGCGGTGCACTTAGGAATCTGTGGAGACAAAGAACTTTGTCCTTGGAAGCAAAGAGGGGAATGTATGAGAGTATAGTTTTACCAACGCTCCTGTATGGGTGTGAAGCATGGGTGATGAATGTTGCAGCGAGAATGCTGGAGGCAGTGGAGATGTCATGTCTGAGGGCAATGTGTGATGTGAATATAATGCAGAGAATTCATAGTTTGAAAGTTAGGAGGAGGTGCGGGATTGCCAAAACTGTTGTCCAGAGGGCTGAGGAAGGGTTGTTGAGGTGGTTCGGACATGTAGAGAGAATGGAGCGAAACAGAATGACTTCAAGAGTGTATCAGTCTGTAGTGGAAGGAAGGCGGGTAAGGGGTCGGCCTAGGAAAGGTTGGAGGAGGGGAAAAGGAGGTTTTGTGGTGCGAGGTCTTGACTTCCAGGCGGCATGCGTGAGCATGTTTGATTGGAGTGAATGGAGACAAATGATTTTTAATACTTGATTGCTGTTGAATGTGAGCAAAGTACATTTATGAAGGGGGATCCAGGAACCGGCATGCCGGACTTGAAGTCCTTGGAGATGGGAAGTACAATGCCTGCCACTCTGAGGGGAGGGTGTTAATGTTTGCAGTTTTAAAAAACTGTAGTGTAAAACACCCTCTAGGCAAGACAATGATGGAGTGAATTATGGTGAATGTTTTTTGCTTTTTTCGGGCCACCCCTGCCTTGGATGGGAATCGGCCAGTGTGTTAATATAAAAAGATGGACCATTTAACAAAGTCACACTGACAGAAAGGGAAAGAAGGGAGTAAATATAGCCATCAGTAGACAGGGATGAGACAAGAGAGGTATAAGGAAGATGAGAAGTAGTGGTTAGGTAGTAATAGTTTAAAGCTGAATAAGAATCTAATTCCTTGCAGCCCTTTCCTTGATGCACCACGTCCACTGTTCAGATACAGGTTTGGGGGGGGGCGGTGGCCCGTGTACTGGCTCAGTGGATATACCATTCAACTACTTTTCTTATCATGCTTCTTCTGTCAAGAAAAGTGTTTTAAAAATCCTTCTCTTTCTCTGTGCTCTCTGCATTTGTGATCCTCAATTCCTTGAATCAGAATTTTTGCATCTTCATAATTCATTTCCCCGTCCTTGGCTACCTTTCCTTTTCATGACTGTCTTCTCCTCCCTAAACTTTCATCTTTATAATCTCACAATACTCCGTTCTTTATACATCACACTTAACGTTTTCCTGACTAACGCTCTTCCCACCAATCTATTGTCGACTGCCTCTCCTCCCTCTAAAGATTCTCCTGGTGTCCTCACTTATTTTGTTTCATCTTGTCTCTATCAATACTTTTGGCTGTTCTCTTTTGACCGACATGGGAGCATAAAAGTAGTGTTAGTCAGTGCCATCACAAACAGTGCTCTTTTCTGTCATGTCAGAGGATAAACAGTCATCCTATTGACGGGGTCTTCAGCCCAGACTGTCTACCCTGTGTCCAACTTTTGACAGTCACTGTCTGGTGGACTCACGTCCCTTATACACAACTTTTTCTTTATGAATCTTATTCCTTGCTTTAGTCTTTGTAGATGGCCTTCGTTTCCCATTACATTATAAAATGCTCCAAACTTCAGTAACCACCCATGACTTAACTATTCTTGTTTCCTCCTCCTCCCTCTCACTTTCTCTTTCCTCTTTCTCCTTGGTTTTCTTTCTTCTGTCTGGGTAATTTGGTCCCCATTAATTATTATTATTCATTCCTTTCTTCTTTCGTTCAACACACCGGCCGTATCCCACCAAGGCAGGGGGCCCAAAACAAGAAAAACAAAAGTGTTTTTTTTCTCATTTTTAAATTTGTAATTTATACAGGAGAAGGGTTTACTAGCCCCTTGCTCCCGGCATTTAGTCGCCTCTCTACAACACACAGTGGCTTACGGAGGAAGAATTCTGTTCCACTTATTATTATTTTATTATTATTATTTATTTTTTTCCCCTCTGTTCTTGTTCCTACCTTTTGTGGGCCCCTAACTCCCTTGCAGTGCTCCTCTTTCTTATCTTTGACTGTCTCCACTACTACTATTTTTTACTTCTACCACTACTTCTCGTTTTCCCTCTACTACCTCTCTTGCCCCGTCCCTGTCTGCTGGCCTTTATTTACTCCCTCCTTCTCTCCCTTGTTAGTGTGACTTTAAATAGTCCAAGTTGGAACCGAAACGTCGTCGTAAGCTCCTCTCTCCTTTGTGGGGTTTATTTGTTTGTTCCAGTCACAGTATTGTGCCTTTGTGTTATTTACTTTAAACTATTCAGAGTGTACTCTGTCAAATGGAAATAAGATGTTAAAGTATGATTAGAAAAAATTGAAGTGAGTGGAGGTAGGCAGTTCTTGTGGCAATGATACTGGCATAGGATTATTCTTATAAGTAATTTGAGCTGCCCTTCCCTTGCTGTTATCAAACTTGATCATCTCCCAGGCTCTGTGAAAACTCTTACCATTTTTAGCATCAAGTATTTTCTATTTTGTATTTCATTTGTTATAGAATAGGATATTCAAATTTTGGCCTCTTTTTGTATTTAATATTTTGGAATGATCCAAGATGTAGATACATTTGTTAATAACAAGGCTTTATTTTTCTTCCATCTCCAGTGCCCTATTGAAGTTGCTGCACGAGAGTGTGGGTAGTGGTGGTGGATGCAAGTTCACTGAACTGGTGATGAAATGTAACTGGAAGGTGATACTTTCCTTCCCTCCCGCACTAATGGACCTTGATTTTCGCCCAAAAATACTTTTCGAGTCCATAATTTCCTAGTGGTAAGGAATAATGCTTGCAATCCTCTCATTTCATATATTCCCAAAAGATTTACTCCACATTTTCAGGAAATTACTTAGGACTGAAGCTGAATGATGGTCTGTACTCTATAATGTGTTTCAGAATTTGGAAGAAACTGAAGTTAGCTATAAGGAGTTTCCATTTGAATGATATATCTATCTCTTAAGCAGTGCATCAGAACATAAATTGAAAACATTATAAAACAACTATGTAAGAAAAAGAATATCAAGATATTATAGCTTGGGTAATGTTCACTCCAGATAATAGGGATCTAGTTGCCCTATGAACATGTTTCTGCTAAGTCAAAATTTGAGACTCCTGGGTAATGCTAGTACACCTGATCAGAAAAATGTAACTAAGTATACCAGCGAACCTATAATAGTGCAAAAAGTTAAGAGTTTTGGGGACACTGAAACTAGAAGTGGCTTCACAATAAAAAAATATATATATATAAGGTTAATGGTAGGCTCCAGGATGTACATGTTTATAGAGGGGCAACTGATTATATCGGATCATTATTTAGTTGTAGCTACAGGGTTTCAGTAAGAGGTAGATGGGGGCAAGAGGAAGGTGGCAACAACAAGTAGGAGGGAAGGAAAGTGTATAAACTAAGGGAGGAGGAAGTTCGGGTGAGATATAAGCGACTATTGGCAGAAAGGTGGGCTAGTGCAAAGATGAGTAGTGGGGGGTTGAAGAGGGTTGGATGAGTTTTAAAAATGCCAGTTTTAGAATGTGGGGCAGAAATTTTTTGGTTATAGGAGGGTGGGGGCAGGAGGAAAGAGGAGTGATTGGTGGAATGATGAACAAAGGGTGTGAAAAAAAGAGAAAAGTTAGCTTTAGAGGTTTTTTACAAAGCAGAAGTGTTTATAAGAAGAGCAGAGTATATGGAGGTAAAAGAAAGGTGAAGAGGTGGTGAGAGAGTGCAAAAGGAGAGCAGATGAAAGAGTGGGGGAGGCACTGTCAAGAAATTTTAATGAAAATAAGAAAAATTTTTGGAGTGAGTTAAACAAGTTAAGAAAGCCTAGGGAACGTATGGATTTGTTAGTTAAAAACAGAGTAGGGGGTTAGTAGATGGGGAGAGGGAGGTATAGGTAGATGGTGAGAATATTTTGAGGGAAATTTTAAATGTTGAGGAAGAAAGGGGGGCGGTAATTTCATGCACTGGCCAGGGAGGTATAAACCCTCTTTTAGGAGTGAAGAAGAGCAGAATGTAAGTGTGGGGGAGGTATGTGAGCATTACATAGAATGAAGGGGGTAAAGCAGCTGGAACTGATGGGATCATGACAGAAATGTTAAAGCAGGGGGCATAGTGTTGGAGTGGTTGGTATTTTTGTTTAATAAATGTATGAAAGAGGGGAAGGTACCTAGGGGTTGGCGGAGAGCATTTTTAGTCCCTTTATATAAAGGGAAGGGGGGCAAAAGAGATTGTAAAATTATAGAAGAATAAGTTTATTGAGTATACAGGAAAAAGCGTACGGTAGGGTTATTATTGAAAGAATTAGAGGGAAGACAGAATGTAGGATTGCGGATGAGCAAGGTTGTTTTAGAGTGGGTAGGGGATGTGTAGATCAAGTGTTTACATTGAAGCATATATGTGAACAGTATTTAGATAAAGGTAGGGAAGTTTTTATTGCATTTATGGATTTAGAAAAGGCATATGATGGAGTGGATAGGGGAGTAATGTGGCAGATGTTGCAAGTATATGGAATAGGTGGTAAGTTACTAAATGCTGTAAAGAGTTTTTATGGGGATAGTGAGGCTCAGGTTAGGGTGTGTAAAGAGAGGGAGACTACTTCCCAGTAAAAGTAGGTCTTAGACGGGAGGTGTAATGTCACCAGGGTTGTTTAATATATTTATAGATGGGGTTGTAAAAGAAGTAAATGCTAGGGTGTTCGGGAGAGGGTGGGATTAAATTATGGAAATCAAATACAAAAGGGGAAATTTGACACACTTACTTTTTGCTCATAATACTGTGCTTATGGGAGATTCTAAAGAAAAAATTGCAAAGGTTAGTGGATGAGTTTGGGGGTGTGTTAAAGGTAGAAAGTTGAAAGTGAACATAGAAAAGAGTAAGTTGATGAGGGTATCAAATGATTAGATAAAGAAAAATTTTGGGTATTCAAATTCGGGAGGAGTATGGAAGAAGGTGAATGTTTTCAGAACTTGGGAGTTGACGTGTCAAACAGATGGATTTGAAGGATGAGGTTAATATAGAATTGATGAAGGAAAAAAGGTGGAAATGGCGCGTTGAGGTATATGTGGAGTCAAAAAACGTTATCTATGGAGGCAAAGAAGGGAATGTATGAAAGTAAGTAGTACCAACACTCTTATATGGGTGTGAAACTTGGGTTGGAATGCAGCAGCGAGGAGGCGGTTGGAGGCAGTGGAGATGTCCTGTCTAAGGGCAATGTGTGGTGTAAATATTGTAGAAAATTCGGTGTGTGGAAATTAGGAGAAGGTGTGGAGTTAATAAAAGTATTAGTCAGAGGGTTGAAGAATGGTTGTTGAGGTGGTTTGGTCATTTAGAGAGAATGGATCAAAGTAGAATGACAGGGAGAGCATTTAAATCTGTAGGAGAAGGAAGGCGGGGTAGGGGTCGTCCTCGAAAAGGTTGGAAGGAAGGGGTAAGGGAGGTTTTGTGGCGAGGGGCTTGGACTTCCAGCAGGCGTGCATGAGCGTGTTCGATAGGGGTGAATGGAGACGAATGGTATTTGGGACCTGACGATCTGTTGGAGTGTTACCAGGATAATATTTAGTGAAGGGATTCAGGGAAACCGGTTATTTTTATATAACTGGACTTGAGTCCTGGAAATGGGAAGTACAGTGCCTGCACTCTAAAGGAGGGGTTTTGGGATATTGGCAGTTTGGAGGGATATGTTGTGTATCTTTATACGTATATGCTTCTTAACTGTTGTGTTCTGAGCACCTCTGCAAAAACATTGATTATGTGTGAGTGAGGTGAAAGTGTTGAATGATGATGAAAGTATTTTGTTTTTGGGGGATTTTCTTTATTTTTGGGTCACCCTGCCTCGATGGGAGACGGCCGACTTGTTGAAAAAAAAAAAATATGTATATGTATATATGTATAGATGTAGATCAGTAACAACACTGCGCTAGGGTTATCTTTACAATAACATATATATATGTAGATGTCAATGCACTGACCCCCTCTCACTGAGGTAGGGGTTATGAGCCCCTTACTCCCAGCATCTTGGTCACCTTTCGTGACATGCATGGCTTACAGGGGAAAGATTCTCTTCTACTTCCCCATGGAAATAAATAAGAAGAACTATACTATACTGTTGTATCTGAGCACCTCTGCAAAGACAGTGATTGTGTGTGAATGATGGTGAAAGTGTTGAATGATATTTTTTTTCTTTTTTGGGAGTTTTTCTTTCTTTTTGGGTCACTCTGCCTCGGTGGGAAATGGCAGATGTGTTTAAAAAATCTATTAAGGAAATAGAAGAAAACTAAGATGGATGTGTATACATATACATGTTCATGAATGTGTAGTGTGATCTAAATGTAAGTAATAGTAGCAAAATGTACTTGTTATCTTAGGTGTTTATGAGACAAAAGATGCCAGCATTGCTTCTATTGTGTAAAACAATTACAGGTTTCCATTTCACACTCAATTGGCAGGATAGTAGTATCTCTCTGGGTGGTTGCTGTCGACTGACTTACTACCTGTATGTTTTGTGCATTCTGTATGTTGCATATATGAGTTCGTGAGGAGAGGGGAGAGGAGCTCTAGCTCATGGTTCTGCTTTATACCTTGCTATTGCTTGGCATGAAGTAAATTTATCATTTATTTTTGAACCCCTGTGGAATATCAGAACAGTTTTGGAAAGTCAGATTGAAAGAATGATGTTGAATGTGTTTTCTTTTTTGAGTCGCCTTGATGTGGTGAGAGTCGTTGGGATAAAGATAAAAGATGTAGGCATGGAAATTAAAAATCTCACTTATGATCTGTATATTAATTTGAAGTTTTATGTATTTTTTTATTTGTAATTCATTTGTTTTCTTTATTTAGATTTTTGACTTGTTTATTTTTGTGTACAGTTAAAATGTAGAGAGAATTGTAGATTGTTTTTCTTTTACATACAGATTGGTTTAATAATCACTTAAATGTTCTAATTTAATGACCAAAGTGGCAATATTTATTATTAATACATTTGCTCAACACACGTATCAATGTATTTAAAAATTAATACATTGTGACACAAATGCTAAACTTTACAATTATTCTTCCATATTTTGTTTCCAGGCTTATCCAGTCAGCTCGTGGTCTGAGCGGCCGTCGGACACGCCATTGCGCACGATCAAAACTGTTATCCACACCCTATGTAGAGTATACGGCACAACTATCCTCAGTCACTTCTCCAAAATTGACAATGCTCATGGTTCTGAACTTCACAAGTATCTTACTAAAGTTCTCAAAGTAAGTAATTTTATTAGTCAGTATTACTAGGTAATTATCATAGGGTAAGCCTAATATTTTCTGTTGGCATGGGCATCGATCATGCACCTAAATGCAGGGGCTCAAGAGACAAAGAAGCTATAGCTTTAGAAATACTGTAGAGCATAATCCGGACATTTTAATCAGTGTGCATTTATGTTCAGAACTGCAGTTAGCATGACTTAAGTTTTTTATCTGTTTTTAATAGAGCAGTTTTTGCAGTGGCATTTTGCTAAGGTGGAACACCGTAAGCGTGGTTGTAAATTCTACCAATATTTGGCAGCTTCGTTTTGGTCCTTGGGAAATAATAGAACTGTTAGAGAAAATATTTCAAGTTTGAATAAATTTATGTCCTTAATTACAGATAAACAAGGCGGCTTTAGGAAAGGTACGGGGTGTATATACCAAGTGTTTACAGTGAAACATGTAGGTGAACAGTATTTAGATAAGGATAAAGAGGTTTTTGTGGCATTTATGGATTTGGAAAAGGCATTTGACAGGGTGGATAGGGGAGCAATGTGGCAGATGTTGCAGATGTATGGAATAGGAGGTAGGTTACTAAAAGCAGTGAAGAGTTTTTATGAGGATAGTGAGACTCAGGTTAGAGTGTGTAGGAGAGAGGGAGATTATTTCCCAGTAAAAGTAGGCCTTAGACAAGGATGTGTGATGTCACCATGGTGGTTCAGTATATTTATAGGTGGGGTTGTAAGAGGAGTAAATGCTCGGGTGTTGGCAAGAGGTGTGGGGTTAAAAGATAAAGAAGCTAACACAAAGTGGGAGTCTTCACAGTTGCACTTTGCTGATGACACTGCTTTTGGAAGATTCTGAAGAGAAATTGCAGAGGTTGGCAGATGAGTTTAGTTATTATTTTATTATTATCACACCGGCCGATTCCCACCAAGGCAGGGTGGCCCGAAAAAGAAAAACTTTCACCATCATTCACTCCATCACTGTCTTGCCAGAAGGGTGCTTTACACTACAGTTTTTAAACTGCAACATTAACACCCCTCCTTCAGAGTGCAGGCACTGTACTTCCCATCTCCAGAACTCAAGCCCGGGGCCTGCCGGTTTCCCTGAATCCCTTCATAAATGTTACTTTGTCACACTCCAACAGCACGTCAAGTATTAAAAACCATTTGTCTCCTTTTCACTCCTATCAAAACGCTCACGCTTTGCCTGCTGGAAGTCCAAGCCCCTCGCACAAAAAAACTCCTTTACCCCCTCCCTCCAACCCTTCCTAGGCCGCCCCCTACCCGCCTTCTTCCCTACAGACTGATACACTCTTGAAGTCATTCTGTTTCGCTCCATTCTCTCTACATGTCCGAACCACCTCAACAACCTTCCTCAGCCCTTTGGGACAACAGTTTTGGTAACCCCGCACCTCCTCTAACTTCCAACTACTAATTTCCCTGCATTATATTCACACCACACATTGCCCTCAGACATGACATCTCCACTGCCTCCAGCCTTCTCCCCCGCTGCAACATTCATCCCCCCACGCTTCACACCCATATAAGAGCGTTGGTAAAACTTACTCTCATACATTCCCCTCTTTGCCCCCAAGGACAAAGTTCTTTGTCTCCACGACTCCAAAGTGCACCACTCACTCTTTTTCCCTCATCAATTCTATGATTACCTCTCTTTTATAGACCCATCCGCTGACAGTCCACTCCCAAATATCTGAATCTTTCACCTCCTCCATACTCTCTCCCTCCAATCTGATATTCAATCTTTCATCACCTAATCTTTTTGTTATCCTCAAAACCTTACTCTTTCCTGTATTCACCTTTAATTTTCTTCTTTTGCACACCTACCAATTCATCCACCAATCTCTGCAACTTCTCTTCAGAATCTCCCAAGAGCACAGTGTCATCAGCAAAGAGCAGCTGTGACAACTCCCACTTTGTGTGTGATTTTTTATCTTTTAACTCCACGCCTCTTGCCAAGACCCTCGCATTTATTTTCTCTTACAACCCCATCTAAAATAATTAAACAACCACGGTGACACCACAATCCTTGTCTAAGGCCTACTTTTACTGGGAAAAAATTTCCCTTTTTCCCTACTTTACTCTAACTTGAGCCTCACTATCCTCGTAAAAACTCTTCACTGCTTTCAGAAACCTACCTCCTACACCATACACTTGCAACATCTCCCAAACTTTTGCCCCCTATCCACCCTGTCATACGCCTTTTCCAAATCCATAAATGCCACAAAGACCTCTTTAAGCCTTATCAATACTGTTCACTTATATGTTTTACGTAAACACCTGGTCCCACACCCCCCCTACCTTTCCTAAAGCCTCCTTGTTCTCTGCTATCCATTTCTCCGTTTACTCTTAATTCTTTCATTATAACTCTACCTACACTTTACCAGGTACACTCAACAGAAATTATCCCCCTATAGTTTTTTTCACTCTCTTTTATCCCCTTTGCCTTTATACAAAGGAACTATGCTGCTCTTGCCAATCCTAGGTACCTTACCCTCTTCCATACATTTATTAAATAATTGCACCAACCACTCCAAAACTATATCCCCACCTGCTTTTAACATTTCTATCTTTATCCATCAATCCCGGCTGCCTTACCCCCTTTTATTTTACCTACTGCCTCCGAACTTCCCCACACTCACAACTGGGTTTCCTCACTCCTACAAGATGTTATTCTCCTTGCCCTATACACGAAATCACAGCTTCCCTATCTTCATAACATTTAAAAAATTCTCAAAATATTCCTTCCATCTTCCCAATACCCCTAACTCTCCATTTAATAACTCTCCTCTCCTATTTTTAACTGACAAATCAATTTGTTCTCTAGGCTTTCTTAACTTGTTAATCTCACTCCAAAACTTTTTCTTATTTTTAACAAAATTTGTTGATAAAATCTTTACCCACTCTCTAAATTTTCTCTCTTTTACATTGCTTTCACCACTCTCTTAACCTCTTTTCTTTTTCTCATATACTCTTCCCTCCCTTTCATCACTTCTACTTTGTAAAAAATTCTCATATGCTAACTTTTCTCCCTTACTACTCTCTTTACATCATCATTCCACCAATCGCTCCTCTTCCCTCCTGCACCACTTTTCCCGTAACCACAAACTTCTGCTGAACACTTAACACTACATTTTTAAAACCTCCCATACCCCTTCGACCCATTGCCTATTCTCTCATTAGCCCATCTATCCTCCAATAGCTGTTTATATCTTACCCTAAACTGCCTCCTTTTAGTTTTAAAACCTTCACCTCTCTCTTCCCTGATGCTTCTATTCCTTGTATCCCATCTACCTTTTACTCTCAGTGTAGCTACAACTAGAAAGTGTCTGATATATCTGTGGCCCCCCTTAAACATGTACATCCTGAAGTCTACTCAACGTCTTTTATCTACCAATACATAATCCAACAAATACTGTCATTTCGCCTACATCATAAACGTGTATACTTTTTTTATCCTCTTTTTCTTAAATATGTATTACCTATAACTAAACCCCTTTTTATACAAAGTTCAATCAAAGGGCTCCCATTATCATTTACAACCCGGCACCCAAACTTACTAAACCCCACCCTCTCTAAAATTTCTCCTACTTTAGCATTCAAGTCCCCCACCACAATTACTCTCTTTACTTGGTTCAAAGGCTCCTATACATTCACTTAACATCTCCCAAAATCTCTCTCTCTCCTCTGCATTCCTCTCTTCTCCAGGTGCATACACGCTTATTATGACCCACTTCTCGCATCCAACCTTTACTTTAATCCACATAATTCTTGAATTTACACATTCATATTCTCTTTTCTCCTTCCATAACTGATCATTTAACATTACTGCTACCCCTTCCTTTGCTCTAACTCTCTCAGATACTCCAGATTGGATATCAGATTGGAGGGAGAGTATGGAGGAGGTGAATGTATTCAGATATTTGGGAGTGGATGTGTCAGCAGATGGGTCTATGAAAGATGAGGTAAATCATAGTATTGATGAGGGAAAAAAAGATGAGTGGTGCACTTAGGAGAATCTGTGGAGACAAAGAACTTTGTCCATGGAAGCAAAGAGGGAAATGTATGAAAGTATAGTTAACCAACACTCTTATATGGGTGTGAAACATGGGTGGTGAATGTTGCAACAAGGAGAAGGCTGAAGGCAGTGGGAAAAATCATGTCTGTGAGCAATGCATGGTGTAAATATAATGCGAGAATTCGTATTTTGGGAAAATTAGGGGAGGTGCCAGATTACTGAAACTATTATCCAGGGGGCTGAGGAGGGGTTTGTTGAGGTGGTTTGGGCATGTAGAGAGGATGGAAAAAATAGAAAGACTTTGAGAGTGTATAAATCTGTAGTGGAGGGAAGGCGGGGTAGAGGTCGGCCTAGGAATGGTTGGGGGGGGGGGGGGGGTAAAGGAGGTTTTGTTGGCGAGGGGCTTGGACTTCCAGCAAGCGTGTGTTGTGTGTGTGTGTGTGTTAGATAGGAGCGAATGGAGACAAATGGTTTTTAGGACTTGACATGCTGTTGGAGTGTGAGCAAGGTAACTTTATGAAGAATTCAGGGAAACGGCAGGCCAGACTTGAGTCCTGGAGATGGGAAGTACAGTGTCTGCACTCTGAAGGAGGGGTGTTAATGTTGCAGTTTTATAACTGCAGTGTAAGCAATGATGGAGTAAATGATGAAAGTTATTCTTTTTCAGGCCACCCTACCATGGTGGGAGACAGCCGATGTGTTAATAAAATAAAATAAAAAAATTACAAGTGTATACAATATGTAACCTGTTGTACGTGTGTGTGCATGTGGTTTCAGAGAGTTTAGTCTTAGCTCTTTGCCCTGCCACTCCACTTACTGCTTGCCAGATTCACACTCCTAGCCTCATGAGCCCTATCATACCTCCTTTTAAAATGTATGGAGTCTGCCTCCACCACCTTTTCATCAAGGTAATTTCACTTCCTAGCCACCCTGAGGCTAAAGAAATACTTCATGACTTTCTAGTAACTCGTCTGTAA